GATGCCTCGGCCAAGTCGTCCAAAGCAGCTAAGTGTCTGAACGAGTGCATGCATCGTGGCCCCATCAACTTGCCGAATCTCTGTGGCATACTTCTCCGCTTCCGTTGCCACTCCATTGTGCTGTTGGCTGACATCGAGAAAGCGTTTCTCCAGCTCAGCATTCGTCCGGATGACCGAGATGTCACACGTTTCCTCTGGTTTGACGATCCAGCAAACCCTGCCACATCCAAGGACAACTTGGCTGTGTATCGCTTCTGTAGGATGCCGTTCGGTATTGTTGCCAGTCCGTTTCTGCTGGAAGCTACTATCCATCACCATCTGCAGCTGCAGTGTACTCCTCTTGCCGCTTCTATCGATCAGAATATCTACGTGGACAACGTGTTGATTGGTGTCTCGGATGTTTCTGATGTTCTTGCCGTATATGAGGAGGCCAAGTCCGTTTTCCAGCGTGCATCAATGAATTTGCGTGAGTGGACAACCAATAGTACAGCTGCTCGGGCGACTCTACCAGCGGATGACATCGTCACGACTCGACATGTCAAGGTGCTTGGTTTACAGTGGGACACACATGACGATGTATTGTCAATTGCTGGTTCTCGCTGCACCCTCTCTGCTGCTGCACCTGCTACTAAGCGCATTGTCTTGCAAGCCGTCTCTGCTTTGTACGATCCCCTTGGTCTACTCGTCCCAGCCATTCTGTCTGGGCGCCTGCTACTTCGTCAATTGTGGCAAGCTGAGCTCAATTGGGACGACCCTCTACCTGCACACTTTACTGACGAATGGTCTGCTATCTCCTCTATGATGGCATCGCTCTGTTCGATCACTATTCCCCGTTTGTGTTGTCCGGTCGGCAGCGCTACGGATGTGCAGCTCCATATCTTCACTGACGCTTCTGTCAATGCGTATGCAGCTGCTGGCTACCTCCGGGTCACAGATGGCAGTTCGGTACACTCTGCCCTCGTCTTCAGCAAGATGCGGCTCGCACCGGCTCCCAAGAAGTCATCTTCTACAGCTGACACCATGACCATTCCTCGCCTGGAATTACTGGGTGCTGTCATTGGTGCTCGACTTGCGTCATTCCTTCGGCAGGAACTCAACCTCACGCTCTCGTCCACTACTGTCTGGACTGATGCCAGGTGCGTTCTGCATTGGCTTGTATCAAGTCGGGACCTGTCTACATTTGTGGCCAATCGCATCGCTAGTTTACGTGCTCTGCCGGACATCACGTATCGCTATGTCCCCAGTGCTGCTAATCCTGCTGATTTGGCTACTCGTCCGCAAACAGCTGCGCAGCTCGCCGACAGTACTCTATGGTGGTCTGGTCCTTCGTGGCTAACAGAAGACGTCAGCAAATGGCCTGCTTCTAGTCACCCCACCATCACTCCTCAGGACTTGGCGTTGGCCGAGGCCGAGTATCGTGGACCTCGTCTCATCCACAGCATGCTCGCTACCCAACCAGTCCTGCCGCCGTCACTTGTGCAGCAGTCTATCCTAACGCGCTCGTCCTCACTGTCCAAAGCCGTCAGGATCTTGACCTACTGCATGCATTTCCTCTATCGTGTTGTGTGGACTCGGTTGCCCGCTGCTCAGCAGACACGCCTTCAGGATGGCCATGCTCTGCTAGCTCAGCTACTCAGCCAGTTTGCTGCTCAACCGCATGTCTTCAGCGTCAGTGTGCGACGCTTGGTTCTGTCTCTATTCGTACGTTCAGCGCAGCACAGCTCCTATCCTGATCTGTACTCTGGTTCTCTCGCTGATAGCACGTCACCGTTGGTGAAGCAATTTGGTCTTCAGCGTGACCAGCTCGGTGTTATCCGTTGTCATGGCAAGCTTGCTCACGTCCATGCTACCAGCCAGCCTGCTCTGCTGCCACGCCAGCATCGTCTCACTGTCTTGATCATTCTCGACATCCATGGTCGCCTGCTGCATGCTGGTCCAAGCCACACCCTCGCACAGCTTCGCCTCAACTTCTGGGTTCCTCATGGTCGTCAGGCTGTTCGCCATGAACTGAAGCTATGTCTTGTGTGCCGTCGTCAAGACTCGCCACCCTATCGTCTTCCGTTGATGCCGCCTCTGCCTGCTGAGCGTGTCAACCCTGCTCATCCATTTGAGTTCACCGGTCTGGACTACTTTGGACCATTGCTCATCAAGCAGTCCGACTCCTCCACGACCAAGGTATGGGTCTGTTTATTCACCTGTTTCGCTATCCGTGCTGTCCATCTCGAGTTCGTGGATGACATGTCCACAGCTGCCTTCATCTCTGGCTTACGTCGCTTCATTGCTCGTCGTGGCGTACCGCGTCTGTTGTATTCTGACAACGCCAGCCAATTTCACCTCGCCAGTTCTGCCGTGCCGGATGCCTGGTCCTCTCTACCGTCTGACCCCGTCCTAGGCGAGTTTCGCTCTCAACGTCAGATCACGTGGAAATTCACCACTGCACTCGCCCCATGGCAAGGTGGTATTTATGAGCGCATGGTTGGCCTTGTGAAGGGCTGCATGCGGAAAGTTGTTGGCCGGCAGTTGCTCTCGCTCCCACAGCTCCTCACCTTGCTGGCTGAAGTTGAAGCTGTCGTCAACAACCGCCCACTGACTCCCGTTTCGGCTGACGATGAAGGTCCTGGTCTTCTCGTGCTCTCTCCAGCTCACTTCCTCGTTGGTGGTCGACCCACGCTGATCCCTGTCGACACATCCTCTGCTGATGATCCCGACTATTCGCCTGATATCAGCTCCCGGGATCACATCTTGCAGTGGTGGAGGGCGTCCCAAGTTCTCTTGGAACGTTTCTGGAAATGCTGGCGGACTGAGTACTTGCAATTACTCAGGGAACGTGCGAACCCTGATCACCGCCAGCCCAAGACGTCTCTATCCGGCCAGCCACAGGTTGGGGAGATCGTCATCGTCAAATCCGAAGGTATACCACGTGGCCAGTGGCACATTGGCAAGGTAACAGCGGCTAACGCTAGTGCGACAGATGGTTGCGTCCGCTCAGCAGAGGTCCTGATGCCGTCTGGCCGCACAGTGGAACGCCCACTATCGCTGCTGTATCCACTCGAGGTACCCAGCACCCGGCAGGATGATGCCCCCGCAGTCATCAGCAGCCAGCAGTCAGATAATGCTCCTGGAGTGCAAGCACCACCGCCATCAGCAACCCGCCCGAGGCGCAAGGCTGCCGATCAGGCGCGCCAAAACATCGCTAGGTGGACGGCTTGTAACTTCACGGCGTTAAGGTAAGTATAACTTATTATATTTCTACGCTTTAGTTCACAATCTTCTTTGTTCCTTTCTCTTTCTAGTGCATTCACACTTCTGTTTGGTGGGAGTGTCGAGAACTGCCGTTCACGAATATTTGAAATACATATAAATTTAGTGTTCACGTCTTACTTGAACTTCCTGTAGTTTCAGTCTGCAACTCCGCCGTCTTTCTCCTTTTCTAACTCAGTCTTTCCATTATCTGACAGTGGTGCTCTCACCTCTAGCTAGGTGCAAGCACCCTCCGCCAGACGCGAACTACATTCTTGTTTCTCTAAAGACTCTCAAATATAATTTCTTCTTCGCGTTCACTTTCGTTCTGCAGTTTATTTATTTATTTATTTTCCTTTCTTTCTACCTCGTGGTACACGCGCTACATGTGCCACCATCTTTGTTTCCATGGCACCACAGTGCACCTGACCACGCGATCGCTACGCAGCTCAGGCCCGAATGGGTCCGGGTGCGCTGCTTCGCGATCTATTTGGCCTCGCTTGCTTCCGAGCACCGCCGTTTTCGGAGCGTACTCATTGTGCGTCTCAGTTCTTTTCTCCGTTGTTTGTTTCTCCTTGTTTTGGTTATTCTTCTTCTTGACTGAAGTGTAGTTGATGAATGAACGATGGTGGTTTGTGTTGTAGTAGTGTGAGTGTGTGCGTGGTTGGAAAGGTATTCTACATTCTATAATCAAATCGATAAGATTTTGACATGGTAGATGTATGAGATGTTGACATGTGATGTCGGCATGGAGACGGCCTTTCCATGGTAACTGGAGCTGCGAAAGAACTCAGTTCTGATTTGACTAGCTTAGTTTTTCTGGTGTGGTGAAACAATGGCAGTATGAAAGGGAGGACGACCTATGCATTGTAACTGGAGCTGCTGAAGAACTGTCTGCTTGATGTATTTAGTTTTCTGTTGTGGCGAATCAATGGTAGTATGAAAGGGAAGAATGCCCCACATAATCAAATTATAGACCTGAGAAATGTCGCAGAGCATGTGATTTCAGCAGACGTGTCACATGATTGGCAGACACTGGCTTGAACAGTGCTAGGATAAGAAGTGCTATGGAAATGTTTTGCACTGACACTCAGTGCATGACCACAGATACCAGGCATGCGGATAATGGGGTGCAACTTCAAGAGATTCCGTACTGAGACGATATGCACGTTGTACAGATGTATGAAGTTCTGTACTAAGGTCGTAGGTGTGTACAGACCCGGCTGGGTGTTCATTGTGTGCTATATATGCGCATTTGACCAATTTCAGCCTCATAATTAGTAGCAAACTATCGCTTTTCCAGCTTCTTCACTTTGGTTAGAACTAATAACTCGCTAGATCTTTGTCAGAAAATGGTTTTCGCAAGAAATGCCTTCAGGGCCCATTTCTTAGTGGAAATAGCAGTAAACACAATAGGGTCCTGCACATTCAACACCCAACCGGGTCTACAGGATTCTACGAGATCCTACGGGATTTTGTGTATCTGTACAACGTGTATAAGGCTCATACCATCCTCTTCTAAGGTTTCATTTGCTTAAATTCACAGCAGTCAGTTACATTCCAATGAAATTCTTGTGCTCAAATGGTCCTGCTAACCTGTTTATGTTGAAATTCTGGTGCTGAAATAGGATTATTCTGGGTGTTGTAGAGTAGCTAAACCCAATTCATCTTGAACATCCTTCCCATTTTCTTGAATAAATTCTTCCTCATATCTACATCACATGTATTGTGCTTTGTTCTGGTGTATGTGTATTGTGCAGCTGATAATGGCCAGTACGCAGCAGCACTAAGTGAGCTGATCAAGGAAGGTGTCCAGCTGATACCGTACGGGCGCCTGATAATGTGCGGGCCGGGCCGCACAGGCAAGAGCAGCTTCCTGCGATCCCTCCTGCGTCAAGCATTCATGTCAAAGGTCGATAGTACCATCGGTGTGGAGCTGGAGAAGGTGATATGCACGATCGAGAAGCAAGGGTTAAAGTATGTCTGGAAGCAAGCTGAAGATTCTTACCAGCAGCAGTTGGCCCTGACGCACAGAGCTGTTGGACAAGAACAAAGGAAGAAAGAGATAGTAGCAGCACTGAGACAACAAGGTGTGGAGATCCCAAAGAACACCAGGTCCACATCCTCCATGCCATCAACACCCGTGACATCACCATCCGCTGTGTTTGAGACTGAGCAAGCAGACACAGCCAGTGTGTGTGAATCTGCTGTCAGCCAACGTGATGAAGCCACCCACACCGGGTACTCTGGTCAATCGGCTACCAGTTCATCCGAAACCATGGACTCTCAGAATGTGTCCACTGCCTCCAAGCCGGAGGAGGTCTCAACCATGAGTGTACCACAGGTCGCAACAGCAGAGCAAGATGTGCAGCAGCTACAGACGGAAATCAACTCAGCAACGCAGAAGTTTGAAGGCTTCATTGAAGATCTGAAGAAGGGCAAAAGTGAAGTTTTCACTGCAGAGCATCTGAAGAACCTGACATTCATAGATGTCTGGGACTTTGCTGGTCAGAAGCTGTTTGCTGCGATCCAACACATGGTCCTGGCCTGTGATCGATGTGCATATGCTGTTGTATTTGATTCCTCAAAGAAGCTCCAGGACAGAGCGAAGCCGACGTTTGGTGTAGACGGTGAGGAACTGCCGCTTTCCAACAGCCTGGAGCAGACCAACTTCGACGTCATGGAGACATGGTTCAACGCTATCCACGAGGTCATTGGAGACAGCGACAACGTACCGGTGTTTGCCATTGGCACACATGTGGACAAGTTACCAAAGAAGCCAGAAGCAAGGAAGAAGGCAATTGAAGAAACTGAGCAGTATATCTGGGCCAATGCGGAGGGTAAATCTTATGCTAACAACATCGACAAGGTGGTATTTGTGGACAACACACGAGCTGGCAAAGACCCGGAAGACCCAGCAGTTGTTCAACTACGTCACGACATCATCCAGCAGCTGCAGCATCAGTTCAGCGTTCCCATTCCACTTCGTTGGCTTCCTGTAACCATCTCCATAGGGCACATTGCAAAATCATTCGAACGACCATGGTTATCGGTTGACGAGCTACGTCGCTTGGCTATTGCTGTTAGTAGCATCTCCAGTGATGATCCTGAGTCAGATTTCCAGAAGATGGTGAAGTTCCACCATGATCTTGGTCATTTGCTTCACTTTATTCGCAATGCCCGTCTTCGTGATCGTGTCATCATCGACATCCACTGGATTCTGAAAACCATGTCACTTCTCTTTTGTCCTGAACCGAAGAGTATGCAGAGCAAGCGTCTTCGTCCACAGTACGACTTGCTGACACAGAATGGCATCCTCCTGGAAAGTCTTGCCATCCACCGCTGGTCGCAGCACAATCGTATGACATCGCGCTACACGGCCACAGAAGAACAACGTGATTTCCTGTTTGAGATGGGCGAGCACTTTGCCCTGTTCTACAACACCAAGACAACTGTGAATGTGCCTGGTCAGAGGAAGGAGGTGACGACTCGCAAGTTCTTTGTACCAGCTCTGGTGGAACGAGTTGCACGTGTTCAAGACGAAGTGAGCAAAGGCAAGCCAAGTCCAGCTATGTACCTGTACAGTGGTGCAGATCGTTACTTTCCACAAACCCTATTCTGGTGTGGTGTTGTGAGGTGTATGCAACGCTATAGTCCAAAGGTGGATCCCATCCTCTATCACACGTCAGCACGTATTCTGGTGAAGGATCGTTTCTGGCTGGTCATGCAGTATTTCCAGCATGGCATTCGCCTGTCACTGGAGATTCCTGTCGCAGCTGGCACGACTAAGTCTTCTTCTACCGATGCTGGTACTCGCGCGGAAAAGTCAGTTGGCTCTCCTGGCGTTGGTACTGCAGCAAGCGAGGACGAGTCCGCTGCAGTCAAGCTTTGTCATGAGCTTCTACCATACCTGGAGTTGGAGCTTGACAATCTGAAGGCATTCTCGCTGACTCATGTGAAGTTTAGCAGAGCTGTTCGCTGTCCATGCTCGTTCAGTCGAGATGCGTGTCGCAAACACAAGAAGAAGTCTTGTGTAGAGATCGGCTGTCAGCACTTTGCTCCATTGGTGGAGGGATTGCGTCCACGTTGTCCTAGTGGAGCACGTCCAGAAGTGGATATCAGTGATGTACGGCAATACTGGCCATGTTTCTCTGAAGACGCGCAGGTGAGTACACCATAGATGGGTATTGATATATTTAAGAGCACGGCTCGCTACTCCAAAGTGTGTGTGCCGTTACGCTAAACGATGTAGTGTGTGGTAGAGTTTGTATTCATTTGACATTGTTCTATTGGTAAGAGAAGTAAATTGTGCTAAGTGATTACTTCAGTCAATAACGGATTTGTCATGTGGTGCCGTGAAATTCTGCCGTCACATTACATTGCACTGCAGACCACAGGGAATCATGAAATGCTGCATAGGATTGAATCATAGGATAACATATTCAAGGTAAACAGTCAGGGGAAGTGACCTGCCAGAATAGTGAAAATAGCAAACCCAACCAGGACTTGAACCCGGGACGTTGCTTATCATGATCGATGTTCTAGCCATCTGAGCTATGGGACCAGGCCAGACCCTAGAAGGCGCTGAAAACAATTTCCACTCCAAAGACAGCAGACAACTGGTGCCTCACATAATGATGGCACATATTGCATATGTTATATGTAGGCCGTGACCTCTGGTCGGTTGAGTTGCTATCAGTACGTCAGTACGTTGTCCCTACATCATCTTTGTCTAGCTTTATGACGTTCTCCGCTTGTGTATAGTAGGGCTGTGTGAAAAGTAGTGTTTTGTGTATTCAGCAACATGCGATTAAAACCTATGGCCAAGGGATTCCTGCAATTAGTACAAGAAGTAGTTGAGTGTTCACTTTGCTCCGGCCAATGCCTTTACTCGTGTCTGGACAGAAATCATTCAACCATGTTTATCTCTTTGGCCGCAGTTCTCGTTTTCCGTTTGTGGCTGGATAGTTGATTTCCTGTGATCTGGTTATCTTTGATTTCCAGACTTTGGGACGTTCAGATGGGAAGCTGGATCAGTCTGACCTTGACCTGGAGCTTGTGACTGGAGATGCTGCTGCAGAAGCCAAAGGTAAGTTTTAAAACTGCTTAGTTATTTTTTCTTATAGTCCGCAAACTCAACGCAGCCACTTACACTTGTACAATACTTCACTCCTCAACTCCAAAACGGCCTCTTGACTGGAAATCAAAATTAATTATATAACCACCAAATTGTCCTGCCTGACCACTCATCAGGGTGGCTACATAAAATGAATAACAAAGATGCAAAAGTAGGGGATTCACTGGCCAGAAAATGCCACTTCATAGCTTTGTGGTGTAGATCAGGCTGACTAGTGGCGGTCAGTCCTTCAGCCTTACAATTGTTGAATGGTGCAATCCCAGCACAAGTTGCTGTGGCTTCTGCTGTCGCATCGCTATCATCGCCTCCGGCGATGGGCGTCAAATGGTCAAAAATGGTGTGTGTGTGTGTGTGTGTGTGTGTGTGTGTGTGTGTGTGTGTGTGTGTGTGTGTGTGTGTGTGTGTGTGTGTGTGTGTGTGTGTCAGATAGTGTTGGGCCTGTTGCCAATGGGCTCGGCTGCTTGAAGGTGTATTGTTGTACCTACCACCTTTGTTGGTTTCAGGGTTCATATATGATTAACTATTGTGTAATCAATGGTGCTAGTGAAGCTTATATCAGATCCACTCTGATTTAGCCACCCACACTAGTACCAAGTATTACCTTCACTGGGGGCAGGGGTACCTGCAGTTGGATCCCGGGACGGATACCCTGATGCCGTCAATCCTTTTTCTGCCCCTTGTCCTCACCCACTTACTGAGGTGTGGTGAGCCCATAGGTGGGATCATTTCAAGTCCACCCTAGTTTGGGGATTTCAGGGGGTGTCGGCCGCTGGGTGGTTCAATGGCCAATTGAGTCATCTTTCCAAGATTCCTTTTGAGTCTCTCTCCCGGGGAGACCCACGTGACCAGTTTTGGCAGTGAGCAAGTACAAGTACAAGTGTGTGTGTGTGTGTGTGTGTGTGTGTGTGTGTGTGTGTGTGTGTGTGTTGGGGGAGGGGGGAGGGGGAGCTTCAGCAGAATTTCAATCGACAGATGCGAAGACAAAGTTCTAAGTAGATAGATGAAGTGCTACACTGTGTACCCACAGGTACAGAATTAGAGGATTACATGTGCAACACCTGTGCCTGGAGGCCGCGTCTGGCCAAGGTGTGTCGCTAGTCCAATGCACAGTACTTGCAACACCTGTGGCTGGAGGCCGCGTCTGGCCAAGGTGTGGAGCTAGTCCAATGCACAGTACTTGGTCTGACTATAGGTGTTTTACATTTGTGTACTCTTTCCCTCGTTGGTAGGGTTGGCTAAAGTTCAGCAGGTTACCTCGGGCACAGTGGCCAAGAAAGCTGCAGTCTATCACGGAGCACTGCACAAGCATTACACCGCTGTGCAGAGAAGCCTGGAGATTAACGTGATGGACTGTGTCAAGAGTTTGCGTGCTGAGGGTCACATCAATCACGACTGCGTGAAGGAAACACGGTCAGTGATGAAGACAAGTGGACACACTGAAGCTCTGGATCACCTGTGCTGTGTGCTGGAGGAGCTGTCGGACGAAGGCATGTGCTACTTTGTGGAGAGTGTACTACCATTTCAAGGTCTGTCCCAGCTAGTAGAAACATTCCAAGCTTGTCCCGGTCCTGGAAAGTGCACACTGAAGCACCATGATCTCCACACTGCTCCCAAAGCTGATGTCAAAGGGAAAGTGTTGGATGGAGCTGATACATCCAGTGCTACTTCTTCTCCACTGGAAGACAAGGTGCAAACTGGGGTAAGAATGGATCATTCTCCTTTTGCTAAGGTGTCCTTCAAAAATATATTAAGTACCGGTAGAGAGCCAGTTGTCTAAATATTTCCAATGTTGTGGCTACTGCATGGGAAAGAGTGAACACCTGTATGTCAGTAGAGATCAGGTGCATGTTTTCCTCTTTTGTTAGTTTTTAGTTTTCCAAGCCAGGGGCAATGTCAGAAGGTAATTTAGTGTGGTACGGTCAGCCATCTGAAGTACAGTGTACTCGTGGGAGAGGGGTGGCTGAGCCGAAATATTTGGAAATTTAGAGCCCAAATCAGTGCATGTTATTGATCCACGGGGTACTTACGGCAAATAGTGGTACGGTCAATACCGTACTGACCATACCGTGTGCGACGCCTCTGCAAGCAAACATATCCAGGTATTCTGCTGGATGGGAAAAGTCACATCTTTTCTTTCTTTTTCACAGCTCATAAGAACATTAGTGAATGTGGAAGGTAGATACATCATGAACATTTTCACATATCATGATGTAGATGTTAAAATGCCTGAATTCCCTGCTAAATAAATTATCCAACTGGTGTGCCTATTTTCTGCACTAGATGTCTGAGCTTCACCAGGAAGTACTGCGTTCAAGCTATGTGGAGTTGAAGTGTAGTTTGGACATAGAAGAGGGCATTCTGAACCGTCTCTATGCAGAGAGCATCATCACCCAACGCTTCTGCAAGAAACTCCGTGCTATGGATGATCATGAAGATCAGGTAATGCTTGCGTTGGTGTGTAATTGCTTCTCATGGAACTATTGATGGAACTATTGATGGAACTACTGATGGAACTATTGATGGAACTATTGATGGAACTATTGATGGAACTATTGATGGAACTATTGATGGAACTATTGATGGAACTATTGATGGAACTTTGCTCAAGAGGTACAAAGTAGTCACTGTGAGTGTCGCAGCAGGGCCGCCAGAGCCGGTTCGGCTGGTCTGCTCATGGCCCCGGACCACGTTTCCCAGCTGGATGGTCCACGGAATTCGCACAAAACAGGTGTAAGAAAATGTTAGAGGTACACGACTCGACTGCTGTTGTACATGCACATGTAGCTCAGGACTCTGCAGCACGACATCACCTCCCATGGATATCAAAGTAGCTTTGATTGTGTTCTCTGAGTAAGATTTTCTGCGTTTTCCGGAGCCCCACGAGATGCCCAAATTTGCTCTATTTCACGTAAAATTTCAAAATTTTCTCTGGACCCCACCCACCCCAAAGATCCGCCGGACCACTTCCAAACTCCTTCTTCTGGCCCTGCACATTCTAGTTTCATTTATACATTTTAGTGAACATTTCAATTTCAGGGAAAAATCAGAAACAGTATCACTACTCAATGTCAATAAATTTTTCCATATATTGAACACATTGGAATTACACTGTACAGTGAAGCCTGTCCAAGAGAAGCGCTCAAGAGACATTCAAAACGTGGTCTCTGATACCAGGTGGTTTCCTTCATCCAGGGTCATTTGACTAGAACTAGCATCCCTTGGTCCTGGTTGTAGTGGTCTACTAAGAAAGGTGATGGCTTTATCCGAGTGGTTGCCGTTACAGTTTCTACTGTACCATGATGGTTGGGAATGTAAAGTTTCTTTTGGAATTTCAAGCCACAAAGTCTCGGTATTTTGTACGAAAGTGGCCAATGGCAGACTACATACCAGCATGACAGTTTGTATGATTATACAGCCTGTAACCTTCTTTCCCGGTCTTCACATGTCTGGGCAAAAGTAGTGACGAGACAGTTATGTGCTGTAGGATAATGGATAGAAATCAATGTTGTGTTTGTTTTGGAATGTTTTGCGTTAGGTCTCTGTCTTCTTGGAAGCACTGCCACGCTGCGGCGCACAGGCCTTCCACCTGTTTGTTACCGCTCTCAAGGAGAGCGAGAAGCGGGCCCACCAGGAGCTTGTGGACCTACTGAAGGAAAAGCTGTGGAAACTGTCCTCCGTAAGTTGATAACATCTACTGCTGCTTTCCTCTTTCCATTTGCTCTGCTGTTAATCGGGTGCAGCCAATGTGATTTTTGGTCTTTGACCCATTTGGTGCTGGGTCTGAACTACTCATCTCCTGGCGTTTTAGGAGATGCATCTACGCCTTGATCCTTGAGGGTGGTGGCGTTCCTACAGATGTAGAAAGCTCTGTCTCTACCCGAATCTTTGCGAATTTTGTTTAATCCCGGGCTCCACCTGTGAACAGATGTTCGCGGCTACATTGTTGTTCGCTTGGTCAGGACGATGTCATAGCTCAGGCAGATAAATAGTTTTGAGGGAAACACGCTCGGGGAGCAATGAGGTCACATTCTCCATGGCGGTGCCAGTAGCCTGCAAGCTTTTGTTACAACATCCCTGTTCTGTCGGGTGATATGTAACATAGCGATGATGTTCATACCCAGGACTAGTCGAAATATGATGTGCTATCAAGACAGAGGGGTGCTTTTTTTCTAGGCTTTGGCCAGTGTCACACGTTTGCATGATCGTGTAGTCTTCAACCAGTGAAGTGCCCATCTGATTGTACGTAACAAAGCTCTATGTGTGTCACAATATGAAGGAAATATCGTCGTGATTAATAAATTGTATCACATTGACCCCATCATGTTTCGTCGTTCCGTGTGGGCTTAGATGTTTCGCTTCTCTATCCTTTAGTCACTTCTTGTGGGTTTCTAGTGTCTCACTCCCTTCCTGATTCCTGTAGGGTTCTTTCAACGAGATTTTTCATGTAGAAAATACACCGAACTAGCAACTGTTCACGGTCATGTCGTGAGGCAAAGAAACCTGTTCAATGTTCCCATGATTCCCCTTTACCCGTGTGCTCTCTGTCCACTTTGCCAGAGATCCAGTATGGCTGGCAATGTGACAGTGCAGTATGCAAATGTAAACTGAGAGACTCACAGAGAATGTTTTGACGAAGTTAATGGTGAAAGTGTATTCCATAGAATGGTATGTTTGGAGCCAGAAACATGAGGCTTAGTGTGTGTGTGTGTGTGTGTGTGTGTGTGTGTGTGTGTGTGTGTGTGTGTGTGTGTGTGTGTGTGTGTGTGTGTGTGTGTGTGTGTGTGTGTGTGTGTGTGTGTGTGTGTGTGTGTGTGTGTGTGTGTGTGTGTGTGTGTGTGTGTGTGTGTGTGTGTGTGTGTGTGTGTGTGTGTGTGTGTGTGTGTGTGTGTGTGTGTGTGTGTGTGTGTGTGTGTGTGTGTGTGTGTGTGTGTGTGTGTGTGTGTGTGTGTGTGTGTGTGTGTGTGTGTGTGTGTGTGTGTGTGTGTGTGTGTGTGTGTGTGTGTGTGTGTGTGTGTGTGTGTGTGTGTGTGTGTGTGTGTGTGTGTGTGTGTGTGTGTGTGTGTGTGTGTGTGTGTGTGTGTGTGTGTGTGTGTGTGTGTGTGTGTGTGTGTGTGTGTGTGTGTGTGTGTGTGTGTGTGTGTGTGTGTGTGTGTGTGTGTGTGTGTGTGTGTGTGTGTGTGTGTGTGTGTGTGTGTGTGTGTGTGTGTGTGTGTGTGTGTGTGTGTGTGTGTGTGTGTGTGTGTGTGTGTGTGTGTGTGTGTGTGTGTGTGTGTGTGTGTGTGTGTGTGTGTGTGTGTGTGTGTGTGTGTGTGTGTGTGTGTGTGTGTGTGTGTTGTTTCAGGACTCAGTGCATTTATGACGGTCTCTTTGTGTATGCTTTGTCCCTGTAGGGTCTGTGAAGGTTACTCTGCTGGTGGACCTGGCGTGAGCTGCTATGTACCCACAATGAGCTGTATCAGTGGATGGTGTGTGCAGACCGTCACTCTACTGAACGGTCGTATTGTTTCTGATCAAGTTTGTTCAGGTATTCCAAGACCTTTTCTAGTTATGTTTCTTTTATGCCGTCTTGAGCTCTTGTCTGCCATTCTAACTGGTGTAGATAAGAATGAAATAAACTTTACTTTATCCTGTATTTTGCTATTCTCCTAGTGAAATGGTTGACGATGCAAGTTAGAGTATGATAAAATTCACCCTCCACTGCACTGCCAGTTTGTATTTGCTATCTATATCGTATGCTTTGGTGCACGGACACGTGATGCCTTTTGAGATACATTTGGAGCTGCTCAGCTGCGCTGAAGACCTACCTGGTGGCATCTTGATAATTTTAAAAAACATTTATGATTCTGTGGGGCTACACAGTACGTTGAGTCCACTCTTTACTGTGAGTCTACTGAGTTTTAAAGTTTTTTGTCGGTTTCTCCGCTTCTTACGTACATTAATTAAAATCTTCCAGAAGTTGAAGTGTGCTGTATGTTTCGAGCTTCAATACTATAATATTATGATGTCTTTGACTCGCGTTTCCTTCTAGCAGAGCTTATACTAGTTTTGTTTTCGCTCTAGAGATTAGCCTGTGTTCTTTCACACTTGTAGTCAACGTAGAATTTCTGACTAACTGAGGAAAACGTACTCAACGGCACGTTCACCTCAGAAAGTTGCATTGCCTGAGAATAGGCATATGGAGAGGTACTCGCATTGCAAGTAGTTTGTACCGACGTATTATATGGACTTGTACGGTACAGGTATTGTTTTTGTTTTTTTTCGGATCGCTGTGTTTGGCGGCATCACACAGTTATCATGAATATGAACTATCACAATGAGGAACACCTCATTAGTGCATCGGCAAGGTGGCTGACTGTACTTGCTCACTACGTTGAACTTGTTACTTGGGCAATGGTATTGAGTGGAGCTAGCAGAATAACAGTATGTACACTGTACACGTACATTTGAGTTACCGTGTATACATTGGTATGCTGTGCTTGCCGTACGGTGAAATTCTAACCTGGCCGTTCTTGGTCGGCCGACAGTAATTGTTACTCACCTCTTTTGGTTTCCTAAGAGACTTAGTTTTGAGAGTACAATGTATGTAGGATGTAGATCTACAGCATACCGCCTGTCTCCAAGACTAGTATGACTTGTGGACCCGAGACAGTGGCCTAGTACAGTGTGGATCCCAGGTTTTTTGTGTGTTTTCAGCCGGATGATCATGATGATAGGCCAGTCCCGAACATTTGGTGGAATGTTTTTGTTTTGTTTCGTTTTGTTTGGCAGTGAATAGACCGTTGTTGGGGTTGGAGAAGTGAATCATAGTGTTGTGTCAGTGGTTGCGTTGGAGTTTAGGGAAATTTAGAAAGTCATTTTGGGTGTAGCTAGCTGCTGCTGTAACGTATCCCAAGCAAGTATTTGTGACGTTTGTTCCGTTTGTGTTATTTTCGCCATACATGATTGACCATAGCAACGGTTGGCCTAACCCCGCCTAGTTACCATGGTTACTACATTATAGTCTGTCTAGCGAAGGCCTAAAGGGACCGTCACTTAATTTTTGCCGACTACCCGCCAAAAAAATCTTTTCGTTTCACGTGTCAGACACGTCCGCGAGCGCGTACGATCGACTCGCGCGCGCCCGGGGGGCGCCCGCGCTACCTTTCACGTCAGGCAATCTGTTCACGCCACATGGCTGGATAGCGCGTACATGCAAACATGATTGAAGACTTGCAAAATCAATTTTTTTCCAAGTCCAGGCGCTAGGCCTAGGCAGCACTAATCAGTCTATTATTATTATTATCAAATTTTTGATAGGGCAATCCCCACAGGCCTAACCCCCCTAAGGCCTTCTTACAGGGTACCCTAGAAATGAAAGTACTGAATTACGGAATAGGTGCAGTGAAGAGCATAAGCGGACTGCAGCGGGGAGTGCATTCCAACGGTCGGAACCGATGAAAGAAACTGAAAAGAGACCGAAACGAGTTTTAGCTTTTGGTAGAGTGACAGACGAAGATACCTGGGAGCGAGTGCAGGAATTGGTACGAGTAGAAGTAGAACGAAGGCAAAAGCAATCAGTAAGGAGAGTAGTAGTTAAAGGGGAAGTTAAGGCAAAAATTAAAATTTCACCAGTTGTAGTCTTCGGGGTCCTGACTCGAATGGTCTTGGTCCGAGGAAGCTGAGACGCTCCCTTCCTACTTGAATCCCAATCGAACTCGCGCACTTCCACCGAAACTGGGTGACTGCGCCCTACTAGATGGGGATTTGTATGCAAAATGTCACTAAAAGCGCCATTTCGTTCTTATAAAAGCACGGATGACCGCGATTGGCCCATATGTCGTAGTCTTTTGGACGCTGAGTCGACTGGTTTTGGTCCGAAAAGGCTGCGATGCAGCGTTCCTCCTTTATTCCCAATCGAACATGGTTGAAGAAGCGGTCACGTGGTGCTGGGTGCTCAAATCACCTGGTCACCACGCCAGCAGGTGACAACTTTCACACCAAGGTTCAACTCGAGTTCAACTCGAGTGACAGGACTGCACCCAAAAAAGGTCAAAACAGGCTAGTAAGTTGTACCCTGCAGGCACGGTGACCAGGTGACTGGTGTACGCAGGAGCACGTGACCGCTTGTTCAACCATGTTCGATTGGGAATAAAGGAGGAACGCCGCATCGCAGCCTTTTCGGACCAAAACCAGTCGACTCAGCGTCCAAAAGACTACAACATATGGGCCAATCGCGGTCATCCATGCTTTTATAAGAACGAAATGGCGCTTTTAGTGACATTTTGCATACAAATCCCCATCTAGTAGGGCGCAGTCACCCAGTTTCGGTGGAAGTGCGCGAGTTCGATTGGGATTCAAGTAGGAAGGGAGCGTCTCAGCTTCCTCGGACCACGACCATTCGACTCAGCACCCCGAAGACTACAACTGGTGAAATTTTAATTTTTGCCTTAACTTCCCCTTTAACTGATTCAGGTCTATAATGCCTAATGCCCAGGCAGCTGACTTGATTTTCGGAGAAACACTACTCATTGTAGTAAAAAGTAACAATGAATAGCGATATCATCTAGGAAGGATCGCTACCCTAACGCGAAGGAAAGGCCATGCGCGGCTGCTCCACGAAGTGTTGAAGAAAGACTCATCAAAGTTTAATAGTTGGTGGACGAACAACTCGCTGGCGCCGGAAAACTTGGCCCCCAACGATGGTGTTTGGTGAATCATCAAGCATAATGTCTTGTAGCAGTGTTCACCGAGGAAGGAGAACGCTCTAGCCGCTGCTGTTGTCCGTTTCATCCACGTTGGGCGTTAGCTGCACCGCGCCTATTGTGTTTTAGTATTCCATGGACACACATTAGCATTCAGAGCGATTGTGGAGCCACAATTTACTTCACACAGCGTTGTATTGTCCACGAGCGCAAACTTCATTATCAGCAGTAACTGTTACTCTTCATCCTACATGTAGACTTGGAGTATACACGGCCTTGTCACGACAGCGACAGCTCTACAGAGTGTTCAAGTGAGAAACATTAATTTCAATTGTTGGTGGACGAATAAATGGCTGGTTCCGAAAAACGCGGCCTGCACCGACGGTGTTTGGTCGATCATCAAACAGGGTGACCAGCAGTGTTCACCGAGGAAGGAGAATGCACTCGCCACCACTCCGAGTCATCCAAGTGGGCGTTAGCTGCGCCGCGCCTATTGTGTTTTAGTATTCCATGGACGCACACTAGCGTTCTCAGCGATTGTGGAGCCACAACATATCTTCATGCGGCGTTGCACTGTCCAAGAGCAGAAACGTCAGCAGTGACCCATCATCATACATGTAGGTTTGGAGTATACACACCATGCGCCAATGGGCCTTGGCACAACAGCGGCAGCTCTACGAAGTGTTCAAGTGAGAAACATTTGTTTCGACTTTTGGTGGACGAACAAATCGTCGGTGCCGAAAAACGTGGCCTGCGCCGATGGTGTTTGAACCATTGAGGGCTCCGGAAGCAGCAGCTGAGCCAGATCAGCCAGTCTTGCCAACTCTCAGTTGCCGGACTCCGTGCTGCAGCTAGCAGCACTGGCACCAGCCGGAAATATTTTTCCGCCGATACCCGTTACTTCCAGTTCTGTCAAGGGCATGACTGGAATCCATTGCCAGGTGATGACTTTTTACTTTATGTGTTATTTTGCTGCCGAGTTGTTCAGAACTTTTCAGCCCCGATCTGTCCATGTCTACATGTCGGCCATCCGCAAACTTCATGTGGAAGTTGGCTTTACCTACCCGTCAGGCCCAATGACTCTCCTCGCAAGGTTCCTGTCGGGCATCAACAGGTCATCATCGACACAGCGTTATCGCCTGCTGATAACCACTCAACTTCTCAGGGAGATTAGCCGGCATGTTGCCTTTCCACGGATGTGGCACCCTCATGACAAGGCCATGCTAAGGGCAAACTGACTGCTTTTTTTTAGCTTTACATTACCGCAGTCAGTCCAGCCTAATACGCCAATCGTATTTCACTATTACTCGCGTGTCATAATTGGGGATATGGGCTGCTCCGCCCTATATCCCTGATATGCCAACTAGACGAAAAGTGTGTTCTGAGCCTGTATCGCGTATAATAGGCTCATCGTAAAACAAATAATAAGTCTTAAAAATCAGGGTTCACGTGACACTCGGGCTCCAGCCAAGTTTTCCGCATCCGCAGGAACGCTACCCCCCTCTTGAATCATAGCATAGTGGACTCTGCAATGAACAGATTATGAAACTCCCTGCAGATTTACTACGGTCATTTCTGGTGACTGGTCTTGGGGCACCGTGGAAGCTGTGACTGGTTGCCAAGTTTTGTTTTGTGACTGATCATGGGGCATTTGTGACTACTTCGAAGCACAGCTCTGATTGATCACAGAGTCTTACTGTTGTGAATATTTATATCGATTGAGAAGTCAAGCAGCCACGGGGCGCTGGCCTTGCAGCTGTGAGTATGCATACGGTACATATTCACATGACTCTATTGTATGCTGGACACTGCTGGTCCATTGTTGCAGTGTGTAAGTAAACTGCAGAACCTATTCCGTGATGAAACACCTACTCCTGAAAGACTGAATGTTTGAGCTAATAGTCTTTTACTTCACTCTCATGCTGCTCATATAATTATACCATACGCCAGAAGACCCTAAGTTACAAGTAGTTCTAAGATTTTGTGGACCATGTGACCATGTGGTACTTTCACTCTACAGCCAAGTCAACCTCTTCGTCAACACACAGGGTTTTCCTCAGACACAAGCGAATGGTTTACTCCACTCTGGTGAAGAACACAGTTTGCTCTCTCAAACACCAACCGCAGATAACTACGGAATGTACTTCAGAAGTAGGAAGTGCGACAACTGCTAGAATATTGAACTGTCGTCCACACAAAACAAATAAAGACAACTGAAAACCAAACACACATGCAACTGCCAACATGCATGTAACAGCAACTGCAAGCCAGAACTACAGACTCCGCGCAGGGAGGAACAGGGGAAACAGAGCTAACGCTTCCGACTCCGAGAGCTTCGAATAGCAGCGGACAAAACAATCCATCAACCTTGCGTGTCACCTTGCGCTACCGCAAACGAACACCTATGGATGCACAGTGCAGCACAGACTCAGTGCATGCACGGTGTAATAACTGGAGTACATGTAAACCGACAACGGTCACCTTGCACCCTATGCAGTAAGTTACATAGGCGGTGCCAACAAAAGAGCAGGGTTCGTGTATCGTGCAGTCGTGCACACTCCAATGGCACAGCAGAAAATGTTCTCACCAACAGCCACTGCTAGCTGTTTTGTCATCTTGCTGTGCCAAATGATGCTGTATAGACGCGCCAAGCAGAAATGGACTGCTTATGAGCGTGAACAGGCTGGATGGGGTGACTGATGGACTGTCGGAGTTGGCGAACCACAGAAATCGTGTCGCAACTCTGTATGCTGGGTTGGCACTGATTTGTAAAATGGCCTTCTCAGTATCGCAGGTCATGACGATTGGTGGCAGGCAAAATCGTAGAACAATGATGAATTGCCTAATGGCTAGGTCGTTGTTAGTAAGATTGCCTGAATCCTGGATGTCAACACAGTCTAGGTCCCACAGATCTGGGATGGTGCAGGAGTCGGAAGTTGCATCAGTTAGAGAACCGATAGCTGGCATGGCTGCTCATCGGCGTAGCTGAGTGCTTGGAGTGACGTGTTCGGCCAGTCACCACAAAACCGACTGTGGTAGGCAGAAACTGTAGTCCTGGCGGAAGTCCTCTGGTGCTCCACGTCAACTGAGACTCCCAGAGGAAATCTGCACCGATCAAGACGACTGACTATCTTACGGTCAATGGCGATACTGGTTGATGCTGCACTAGCTGCTGTTGCGCTAGATGCTGGTACCTCGTCAGCCACAGGCTGGTCAGCTACTATGTTGGTACTGCTGTCAGATTTCTGTTGAGATTCAGGGCAGATCGTGACATGATGGTGACTCTGATTGGTGACCCATGCGAGAACACACATTACACTTGCGGGTGGCCTTGCACTGAGTTGACCGGTGCCCTGTGCGCAAACACACAAAGCAACGCTTCTGTTCAATCAGTTATTCTTTCCGCTGTGCTACTGTTGTGTATTTCGCGCAGCTCTTGTCCAGGTGAGATCCGCCGCAGAATGCACACCCTCTCATACTGCTGGCATTCCAGTTAACATCAGACCACTTCCTTCTGGTGAACTTGCATGCGCCTGTCACCAGTGCACCTGCAGAATAGTGAGTGACATCTTCTGCTGTAGTACCGCCTGTGTTTGTGCGGCGCAGAAAGGCGTCTTGCATGATAACATAACGCTTCAGTGCTGTTCTGAAGTCATTCAGTTTCCATTGTGTCCCTGCATCTGAAAAGCCTCGCGCTTCGTCCAGTTGAATCAGCGTTCGGCATGATCCGTATCTTGGTCACAGCACCGTGTGACGATCTGGTGACATCAGACGGATATAATACACAAGAGACAATTGTGATATTTCTACGTTGTGTTTACTTCAGATACATAATCTAAATAAAAGGGGGGTTGTCAACCGACAACCGCTCTATTTAGTTGCTTTTCACTCTTTAGATGAAAATTCTTTTATTAATTATGTCGAAAAGTTATGCGGTTGTCAGTTGACAACCACCCTTTAATTTACACTGCAGTTGCGTGATGTCCACCACTTTCTGTACATAATCTAAGAGTACTAACAGCCACTGACTTCCAACTACCAAGGGAAAGCAAGCCCAAGCGCAGGAGAACCGTGCGCGCGCGGGTACGTAATATGTAATATCGTAGTAGAGCTGGCAGGCAAGGCATGATCAGGGGTTCAGGCCCTGCCTGTAAACGCTCTGATTGGCTCAAACCCTGGCAACAATCACGTGACATGTCTGAAAGTACAAGTAGTTGCGATTTATGCTGAAGTTCTAACTAACGGAACACGTGCAGCGCTACACCATGAACCGTGTGGAAACAAAAATAAGTAGAGGAGACACGGGATAACAGACATGAACTCAGGGTCAAACTGATAACTGTGAAACGTGAATGCATGCAGTATATGGAGACAAAACAAAGTCACAGAATTCAGTACGTAACAAGTACTACACACTAACCTCGTACATGAGAATGTCACGACACCATTTGAATTAGCTCTTACACCCCACTTATGTTTCAGTCAGTAAGAGTACACATGCGTACTTACGTTGACTCTATTTTATCTGACTTGTCCAACACCATCGTTGTGAGCCTTCGGCACTTGGGAATACACAGGACGGATAAGATAGCAGCAAGAGCATCTCCCCGCTCTGTGAACACAGCTCAGACGCCATGCTTCATGATTGTGTGCCCATGGAATACAAGGACACAATAGACTTGGTGCAGCTAACGAAATGGATGAACGGTCGACGGCCTAAGTGTTCTCCTTCCAAGTTCCTCGATCAACACTGACAGTCACCACATACCATGCTTGATGTTTCAAGCACCATCGGCGCAGGCCACGTTTTTCGGCACCGACGATTTGTTCGTCCACCAAAAGTCGAAACAAATGTTTCTCACTTGAACACTTCGTAGAGCTGCCGCTGTTGTGCCAAGGCCCATTGGCGCATGGTGTGTATACTCCAAACCTACATGTATGATGATGGGTCACTGCTGACGTTTCTGCTCTTGGACAGTGCAACGCCGCATGAAGATATGTTGTGGCTCCACAATCGCTGAGAACGCTAGTGTGCGTCCATGGAATACTAAAACACAATAGGCGCGGCGCAGCTAACGCCCACTTGGATGACTCGGAGTGGTGGCAAGTGCATTCTCCTTCCTCGGTGAACACTGCTGGTCACCCTGTTTGATGATCCACCAAACACCGTCGGTGCAGGCCGCGTTTTTCGGAACCAGCCATTTATTCGTCCACCAACAATTGAAATTAATGTTTCTCACTTGAACACTCTGTAGAGCTGTCGCTGTCGTGACAAGGCCGTGTATACTCCAAGTCTACATGTAGGATGAAGAGTAACAGTTACTGCTGATAATGAAGTTTGCGCTCGTGGACAATACAACGCTGTGTGAAGTAAATTGTGGCTCCACAATCGCTCTGAATGCTAATGTGTGTCCATGGAATACTAAAACACAATAGGCGCGGTGCAGCTAACGCCCAACGTGGATGAAACGGACAACAGCAGCGGCTAGAGCGTTCTCCTTCCTCGGTGAACACTGCTACAAGACATTATGCTTGATGATTCACCAAACACCATCGTTGGGGGCCAAGTTTTCCGGCGCCAGCGAGTTGTTCGTCCACCAACTAACTTTGATGAGTCTTTCTTCAACACTTCGTAGAGCAGCCGCGCAAGGCCTTTCCTTCGCGTTAGGGTAGCGATCCTTCCTAGATGATATCGCTATTCATTGTTACTTTTTACTACAATGAGTAGTGTTTCTCCGAAAATAAAGTCAGCTGCCTGGGCATTAGGCATTATGTAACGAATCCCACCGCTGGCACCAATTCTGTAACGGATCCCACCGCTGGCACCAATTCTGTAACGGACCGCAGTCTCTCTCGGAGGCAAATGCAGACGGGTCTCAGTGAACACACTGTTAATAATAATTCTTACTGAACTAAACGGAAGACTACACTGTAAACATTAACTCTGACTCTAACTCTAAACTGACATTATTGAAGGTTCTAACTGGCCTTTCTAACTGTACTTCTAACTGGCCTCTAGAGAATTGTGAACAGCAGCTTTTATAGGCAGACAGCATACGTGCTGCAACAGCATGGTCACGGCAAAGGCTCAGCAGAGAGAAGAAGAAAGGTCAAAGTATGTTGTGTGGGCTACAGTCATTGCACAAGGAATGCCATTTGATTCTATGCAGAAGAAGGAGCTGAATAGCAGTGTGGGCAATGGGCGTAAAAGAGGCGGTTGAAAGTGCAGCAGTATTTCTAAGGTCAATATGAAACATTGAACGCAGTGAGACTAGTTACTATCCATGTCATGGATCTGCAAGCACGGTACAGAGTTGCAAGTGCGGGGTACGGGTGCGGTGTAACACGCGTGACCAATACATTGAAAGTGATTCACGCTGCAGCTGTGTGAGTTACTAGCGTGCCAACGCTACACCTTCCTTCTTTAAACAGAATCACGTCCTCGTGATTAGAGTCCGAGTAGCAGAACACGAATACTTGTGACGAAGTGACGAACAATGATAGAAGATCATGTAGATGCGCAGACTAGACTTGGCGAGTAACATAGTTGATATAGCCGGACTCCGACAATCGACTGAGATTAGAAGACACGGGCGGCATGCATGGTCGCGTCGGAATAACCTCGACGGAAGAAGATAGGCAGAATGGATGACGTGCATATACAGGTATGTATTCGTGAACAGCCTCGGTTGATATCCGGACGCAATGAGGACAACTGACATTGAAGTACTGGCTGGAGCGCAGCAGCATATCACAGGACTGAGAGGTGGTGCGAACATATTCATTGAACATTATAGGAGATAGCGCATCATACTGGTACAGCGTCAACCGGAATATGGCAAAATAATATCGGAAATGATAACCTTTGAGAGTAGACAGAAGAAATGAACTGATAACAAAATCATAAAATAGCATCACTCCAGGTTCACACGATCTCACGGGGCCAAAGGGGAAAAAATTGTCCTCCAAATAGGACTCACAGCACACTTGCTGTACCACCATGGCGTTTGAGCCATAAAAATAGTTCACAGTTCCAAACTGAACTGGACAAAGGGCACTCTAACACACATTATCCCAGGTTAGTTAGATAGACCGTGGCTCACCATGATCGGACGCCTACCTAACTAAACTGGATTCACACACTCGCATAAAGGAAGACTGAAGAGAACAGGAAGACTGAAGGAAGACAGGAAAGAAAAGTGCCATATCGGGAATTAGCTTACGTTGGACATGGAGCTTGATCGGTAGAGACGTTGTCCGTCATCATTTCGGGCTAGGGGGAGACGTGGCGGGCGAAGGAGTAGCGGCGACTGACGCATCAGGTTGGGCCATGATGGTACCGGTTACACCAATAAAACAATTTACCGCTGCCATCGATTCTGTGGCGCCGCTGCCATCAATGCAATACAGATACTAGGTGGGTTCGAATCTAGCAATTATAAAATTGTACCACCGCTGCCACCAATTCTGTAGCGTATCCCACCGCTGCCACCAATTCTGTAGCGTATCCCACCGCTGGCACCAATTCTGTAACGGATCCCACCGCTGGCACCAATTCTGTAACGGACCGCAGTCTCTCTCGGAGGCAAATGCAGACGGGTCTCAGTGAACACACTGTTAATAATAATTCTTACTGAACTAAACGGAAGACTACATTGTAAACATTAACTCTGACTCTAACTCTAAACTGACATTATTGAAGGTTCTAACTGGCCTTTCTAACTGTACTTCTAACTGGCCTCTAGAGAATTGTGAACAGCAGCTTTTATAGGCAGACAGCATACGTGCTGCAACAGCATGGTCACGGCAAAGGCTCAGCAGAGAGAAGAAGAAAGGTCAAAGTATGTTGTGTGGGCTACAGTCATTGCACAAGGAATGCCATTTGATTCTATGCAGAAGAAGGAGCTGAATAGCAGTGTGGGCAATGGGCGTAAAAGAGGCGGTTGAAAGTGCAGCAGTATTTCTAAGGTCAATATGAAACATTGAACGCAGTGAGACTAGTTACTATCCATGTCATGGATCTGCAAGCACGGTACAGAGTTGCAAGTGCGGGGTACCGGTACGGGTGCGGTGTAACACGCGTGACCAATACATTGAAAGTGATTCACGCTGCAGCTGTGTGAGTTACTAGCGTGCCAACGCTACAATTAGACTGATTAGTGCTGCCTAGGCCTAGCGCCTGGACTTGGAAAAAAATTGATTTTGCAAGTCTTCAATCATGTTTGCATGTACGCGCTATCCAGCCATGTGGCGTGAACAGATTGCCTGACGTGAAAGGTAGCGCGGGCGCGGCGGGCGCCTCCCGGGCGGGCGCGCGCGAGTCGATCGTACGCGCTCGCGGACGTGTCTGACACGTGAAACGAAAAGATTTTTTTGGCGGGTAGTCGGCAAAAATTAAGTGACGGTCCCTTTACGGCTTTAGGCTTTAGACTTAGTCCTTCGCTGTTGAGAATGCATGCAGGGACTCTGCGAATCTCACGTGGCCATTGCAATGATTGAATGCATGCCCCCAGGCCAGAATGAAGGCGCCAAACCGGCTCTGTCCGTAACGACCTTCGGATCGACCCACCGGCTCGGTAGATCTACGCGGTAGCCCCACTTGAAGTAACTTAGTTGAACGTCCCAACGGCCGCGCCCAAGCCGGCCTAGCCCCTGTTCTGGTCACTACGGAAATCATCATAATAATTCCCGTAGCGTCTTCACAGTCTGTACTGTAGTGTAGATCTACCTGGTACGGTGTGTGTGTGTGTGTTTGTTGAAGACGCAGTTGTTACCGTTCATCAGCGAAGAAGAGGTACAGGACCATTGTGTTTGATAGCAGTTTTGTACACTGTAGTCTCCTGGGCAGCATATCCTTGTCCCAGAACCAGAGAAAGTAGACCTGTTGAGTATCATCGACTCGAGAAATCACTGTCTGTTCGTGTCGGTAACTAACGAGGTCTGAACGACCAAGTTAGTAACATTTTTTGTTTTCTCGAGTCAGAGTAATGGGTTGATGAGAAACCACTAGTGCGACTTGTGCTGGAAATACGAAGCTGCACGGTATCCGTAGTGTTCACGGCAAGGTACATTGCAAGCATACACTCTATAAAACTGTTGTAAACTAGAGGGGCAGTCTTTGAAACCTTCAAGCAGTATTGCCAGACATGCAAGATAGGTTGGAGTTATCCTATGTGGAGAATTGTTAATTTGATTTGTAAGACGTGAAGAAAATCCGTGTTAGTGTTAGTGTTAGTGTTAGTGTTAGTGTTAGTGTTAGTGGTACCTAGTACTAGTAGTAGTGTTGTACGTCGAATTCATTCAAACGCACATGTACTTAACTACAACAGCAGGGAAAATGACAAACGTAAAATACATTGCGCTCCACAAAGGCCAGCGAAGTTCTCCCGGAACTTGACGCGATGCTTGAGCAGAGTTTTCACCATCTCAGGACAGGAGTCGGGACATTCCTGATCCTCAACGCTTTCCTCAAACCTGGGAATACTTTCCTCGGATACACATCTACATGCATATTCATCTCTATTATGTCACTGAACCTAAAACCTCTTGTCATGCACAGAGTGTTTACACTAAATCTGTATACAATGAATGCAGCAAATGGAATTTTCAGTACCTACTGTAAACCAGCCATTATTCTAACCCTGGCGCATATATAACGATTTGCCAAAATTGACTAGTTTACGTGTACCAAAGGTAACGATTCTCACTCCTTTTCAACGCTCAATAGGACAGTATATGTATCGATTTCTGTATAACGATTTCTATTTTAACGACAGATTTCTCCTCGTTAATTCGTTAGAGTTAGCACTTCGTTATAATTATGGCTTTTACAGTAATTGGTTGTGGGTCTGATCTACTCACCTCCCACTACTTTGACAGCTGCATCTGCGCCTTGATCCATAGAGGGTTCTGGCGTTCCTGCGGATTTGGAAAACTCAGTCACACTCAGTCTCACACGAACCGCAAATATTTTACCCATGATGTAGTGAAATGATTGTGTGTACATATGAACAGCAGTGTTGTAGAACAGAGGACTGTGTTGTAGGTGAAGTGTGTTCTGTTAACCAAAAATGAATTATGGGAGTTTTACATACCGGTGTGTGGCTGTGGAGAACCAGCGGTGGCAGTGTAAGGAGTGGTGGTATGGGGTGCATGCATGGCAGTATTTGTCTTCATGCATATGGGTCTATGCCGTATGTGTGTGCATCTGTGTGGTGTGTGTGTGTGTGTACATGGTGTGTGTGTGTGTGTGTGTGTGTGTGTGTGTGTGTCTGGTGTGTGTGTGTGTGATATTAACGTAATGATACGTGTATACATGTACCTGTATTGTGTCAACCTGTCGGAAGGTTACCTTCTTGCCAAAGCATTTAGAAGTGTGACTAGTTTCGGCTCCGCAATCCAGTGAGTCCTTACTTTAATAGCTTTCATGGATGAGGTTGTTGGTATGTCTGTTGGCTCTTGGTTCCCAGTACTCAGTAGCCGAGGCTGGTTGGTAAAGCAAGTCCAATTTCACTTGAAGGTACCAGGGCATCTAGTATCTGCTTCTATCAAAGCAGCGTGCTGTCTATACTGGTTACCCCAGCAAGTGTAGGGTGTGCATATGTAACTGTCTTGGCTGATTTACATGGCTTCGCCAGTTGTGTGGACTAGACAGTTATCTGGCGCAAATCTTGATCTGTCTCATTCAGATCTTGTTCGCTATCGTTGCTATAAGAGAAAATCTGGGGGTGCTCATCCAGTGCATTTGCAGATTTGCGTGCTTCTCTTGCGACGGGCGTATACATGGTACATGGTACTGTGTAACACTGTACAGCCGGTCTTCTGGTTCATTGTCATTCATATTTGAATTCTCTTTCAGCAAATTCATCGACGGTCAGAAGAGGCATATTCATGTTTTTGTGTTTTTTGTTTTGTATATCTTTGTGTTTAGAACGATGCCGTTTGACTTCTGGGATAATGTTGTTCTGCCAGCATGGCATGACATAGCTCAATGCCAGATTACACATGAAGCACTCAAGAAGGTCGTCATGGCAATTGATGAACATCATCCACGTATCAGCAGAGATCCCATACTGAAGAGACATGTGTTGGCTTGGAAGAAGGGGTATTCCAACAAAGGGAGTTCAGCAGAGGATAGGCCAGTCTGCTATGTTGGCTGGTTGATTACCTACAAGAGAGGACCATCAGGTGTCCAGGACTTCATTCAAGCCATCCAGTCTTCATCTTTCCCGTCCAATGGTGTTGTTGGTGGAGTGCTGGAGAGAATTTGGAAAGCTCGTAAGAATGATCATCCTGATGAAGATGTCAAGGATCCATGTAAGTAAAAGATTGCCATATTGCAAGTCAGTTCTAACACTTGCACCCATTAAGCAGGGGAGTAGTGCAATGATTTCATGGTATTTTGTATGTAAAGTTCATACAGTGAAAGCTGTCTAAGGCGAACACTCAAGGGACGAGAAAAAGTGGTCGCCTTTGCCAGGTGGTCTTCTTATCCAGGTTCAGTGGGTCACGTGACCCTATCCACATGTGCTACATCATTGTGATAAGTGCATCACAGTGCTCACACGTACAGGTATGCTACTCTAGCACGACTCATGTGCCTGGGGTCCTCAGACTCGTCAAGCGCCGTGCATGCACCATGCACATCTACACTTCCTGCACTGACGTGTAGATCTACCATGCATGGTGCACCATGCAATGCATACATTTACATGTACTAGCACTGTGCAACGCGGTCGTGGGTGGGTGGTCGTCGGTCGCATTGAGCAAGTGGTCGCCTTATCCGAGCTGCTTTGAATGTGAATGCGTCCGTGACAAGGAAAAGTGGTCGCCATGGTCGAGTGGTCGCCATATCCGAGTGGTCGCCATATCCGAGTGGTCGCCATTACAGATTTTACTGTACTTCATACACATGGAATTGCACCACTACACTTGTTAGCTGCTCTGGCAAGCCAATACTTTCCCTAAGCACTCTCAGAAGACTATCTTGTAGTCTCATGAGTATTACTATGAGAACTTGAGAAGTATTGGAAGAGAGGAACCACTGGAGCATGCACGGTTCTATAGTTGATGGAAAAATCTGAATAATCTTTACAGACAAAGAAGCGGGAAATATGAAGTAGTGAGCACAATAGTGCGTTTGTATTGTGACTTGTATGCTGCATAAGTATCATAGCATAAGTATACCTGTTGCATACTCGTATACACCTTGTAAATGAAGATAGCACGTGCAATACTGTACATTGAAGAAATCTTTACATACATGTTATGTGTGATGTTATGCTGGTGCATGTTACAACATTATACAAGATCATGCATTCTATTCTGTAGAGTAGAACTACAGTATATTCATAAAAAGATGGACTTCTAGCTTTGGCAATAAATGGGTCAAACCTTTTAGATTATTTTTCTGCAATCCCTATGGAATCCTCTTCTAATTTTGTTTCTGAAGTCTATTTGTCCAAAATGCAAGCCATAACAAGAATAAGATTTCGGCCAGGTTTTGCCCCAAAAGCACTAATTCTGGAAAAACCATCAAAATCTAGGCCGTTTGAACCCGCTTGCAACAGTGCATTGGGCGGTTCGAACCCCAGTTCAGGTACCCTTTTTGGACCCGGTTTCAAATTTCAAATTTCGCAGGACTGCACTGTGTACGATAATATCACGAAAATCGCCCAATACGGGAGCTCGCCAGAGCCAGGGACCATCTTTTTTATGAATGGACTGTAGAACCAGCATACCATCAATGGGAATGAAAAATGTAGTTGAGCCGATGTAGGATAATCACAACTCCTGCATTGTACCATCGTGTCACGGGTTTTAGTCAATACATGTCTGTACAAAAGTACTGAAATGAACATGATTGCACTCACTATAGTGTAATCGTGCTATGTAAGTTTAATGACGAGACGTGTAGATCTTTACTTGATCAACTGATGGCAAGTATTGTTTGTTGCAAAGATCCATCAATCTTTGTTACGCTACATGGAGTTTAGACTAAAACTGAGCATGTATGTCACATATGCTGTATCCAGTCAAATTATCAACCAATGCATTTGCAATACTCAAGGCTACCCGGAAGTTATAAATAATTATGATTATTTGAAGTAAAGAAAACAGGACCAAGAAACTACAAGTTACGCTATAATGTCCACTAACGCCACCAATCTTTGGGTAATCCTGAAATAAAGATTATTATAATAATATTAATATTTTGACTAGTTTGAGGGAATTATTATTAATATATTATATTATTACCGTACTGGCAATATATATGGTCGCAGTGAGGCCATCAAGCGTTACATTGGCACATGTTTACCGCACGCAGGGCGTTACATGCAAAGTCGCACAGGAGCCGTTACACAGGTTTCTATATTGCCGCAGTCCTTTTTTTGCTATTGCCGCATCACTTTTTTGCTATTGCCGCATCATTTTTTTGCTATTCCCGCATCATTTTTTGCAAACTTCAGTGAAAAGATCACCGCACCCCGCCGGACGCGCGTTACGAACGCAACAAAAATTTGTCGCACTAGCCTGGTCGCGCGTTACGCCGCACCCCCCTGCGTTACGGGTTACGCGGCGACATATATTGCCAGTACATTACACTACTTACAGTTCCCCTCCTCGTGCTATTTCTATAACTTAGAACCTTCCAAGTTGGAAGGCTGTTGGAGTGCGCATCCAAGAGGTGCTAGAGCTGTTAGCCAGTTAGTTGTAGATCGTCAGTATCGTCGATCAGTGGAAAAGACATCTTTCTTAGCCGACGTTTGATGACTCAAGCTAATGGGAACACAAACCCTCTCCAGTATACTGTAATCAGCATCGAGTGACACGGACACACACAACAGAAAATGAGTCATACGATGTGTGAAAGTTTCACCTTCCGCGCTTCCGTGCTTTAAGCGCAAAACCAGTTTGCGCAGCTAGTGCACGCATGTTCGACATAAAGGGGTCGTGCATGGAAAACCTGTACACACTGCTGCGATCGCGAGGTCCTGTAACGCACTAGCTGCTATCCGTGGAAGCCGGCGCTGTACTAGCCTGCAGCACGCAGTTTCAAATTGGAGTGCTTTTTGTTTCAAGATCCTGCGCTGTGAGTTCTCCATCTCCTACCAAAGTCTGAACAAGTGAAATACCAGTAGCTCACATTATGTCATTGTTCCGTCTGGACCTGTAGAGCTGAAAGGCTACAAATGAACCTTGACTACAGGTCAGAGTGCAGAGCTTGCACAACGTGCAGAGCTTGAGTACCATGCAACTCTGAGTTTAGATCTATTTTGGTTCCAATGGATTTCTCAGAAATACTATGGAGAGGCTGGCTCGGGAAAAGTGCTCTGCTGGTCCTTAGGCTGTGACGTGCTGTTGTTTAGAATTTGATGTTGTGTCCTCTGCCAATTTGTGATTCCTCTTACGCCATACGAGAGTAGAAAAGCCTACAGATTACTCTTACTAGGTAGATCATGTCTCTCAAGTATATACTGATCCTGCCAGCAATGGGAATGAGGCCAGTTTTTAAGATAACATAGCATACTTATACTATGGAAAAGATCAGCGCACATTGCGGTGGAGTGGCAGAAGTATGAAGATGACATTCACACAGAGACAAATAAGCGGGGACAAGTACGGAAAAGTGTGTACACTGGGGGGGGGGGGGGGGCAGAAGACGGTGCAGCAGCATGTACGAAGGGGTGACACAAACACAGCATAAACGCAGCAGCAGGCCGCAACAGAGTGACACAAACGCAGCAGCATGTACAACATACCTATTTGTATACAGCATATTATTTCCTAGTGTGCAGGTCAAATGCAGTCTTTGTTATGGTAATACAGTGTATGTACAGTCTGTGTGGATATGGGTATACGTATAGCTCATGACATTCCATGCTCTGATCAATTGACACCAGTTGTTCAACACCAGCAACCATATAGCCCAACTCAACCTCTTGTGCTCAGCTGTGCCTTGCTATGCTTGTGCCACACCACGTGCACACACACACGGTGACACTGCATGCACACACACACACACACACACACACACACACACACACACACACACACACACCACGTGCACACACACACCACAAGCACCTTTTTTGCCCTTTTGAGTTTTGACGACCATTACCGAGGCGATGATAGCGATGCTACAGCAGAAGCCATAGCAACTTGTGCTGGGATTGCTCCATTTAACAGCTTACAAGGCTGAAGAATTGACCGCCACTATTCTGAGCCTTGTCTACACCACACAGCTATTTGAAGAGGCCATTTCTGGCCAGTGAATCCCTACTTTTTCGTTTTCGTTTTTCCAGCACACATCACAACACATATTCCACCATGTACTGGCTGTTGGGAACCACCCAGGATTTTTCATACCACGTGCACACACACACACACACACACACACACACACACACACACACACACACACACACACACACACACACACACACACACACACACACACACACACACACACACACACACACACACACACACACACACACACACACACACACACACACACACACACACACACACACACACACACACACACACACACACACACACACACACACACACACACACACACACACACACACACACACACACACACACACACACACACACACACACACACACACACACACACACACACACACACACACACACACACACACACACACACACACACACACACACACACACACACACACACACACACACACACACACACACACACACACACACACACACACACACACACACACACACACACACACACACACACACACACACACACACACACACACACACACACACACACACACACACACACACACACACACACACACACACACACACACACACACACACACACACACACACACACACACACACACACACACACACACACACACACACACACACACACACACACACACACACACACACACACACACACACACACACACACACACACACACACACACACACACACACACACACACACACACACACACACACACACACACACACACACACACACACACACACACACACACACACACACACACACACACACACACACACACACACACACACACACACACACACACACACACACACACACACACACACACACACACACACACACACACACACACACACACACACACACACACACACACACACACACACACACACACACACACACACACACACACACACACACACACACACACACACACACACACACACACACACACACACACACACACACACACACACACACACACACACACACACACACACACACACACACACACACACACACACACACACACACACACACACACACACACACACACACACACACACACACACACACACACACACACACACACACACACACACACACACACACACACACCTCAGACCTGCCCATCGCGGAAGCGATGATAGCGAACAGCTATATTAGACATAGCAACTTGTGCTGGAATTACACCATTCAACAGGTGGCAAGGCTGATGAATTGACCGCCACTAATTTTAGCCTGGTATCCACCACACAGCTGATTGAAGTGGCTTATTCTGGCCAGTGAATCCCGATTTTTCATTTTTCCATTTTTCCATTTTTTCATTTTTCATTTTTTTGGACACACACGCCACACCACATACTCCGGCATACACTGGCTGTTGGTAGCCACCCAGGATTATGAAAGAAGAGCTAGGAGATGAGAAAGAGAAGAAAAACATGTGCGACCATAGTCGTGGGGAATTGAACCCGCAACCTCTTGATTGGAAATCGACTGCACATACCACTGCACCATATGGGACACACAGGGACACATGCAAACACACACACATACACACACACACACACACACACACACACACACATACGCACGCGCACAAATACGTGTATACGTAAAGTCCGCTGCAAGTGCCCACTTCGCAGCAAACGCTCACCACAACGGGTCCATAGTATTTTCGTCTTTTTCAGGTCAATTTAGTTGTAGAAAACTGGCATGAAGGTCGAATGCGTACAAGAACGACTGTAATGCCTACACAGTGCCTATGTCTTACCAGGATCCTGTGCAAAAGCGATTGTCATTATCTTGCTGCAAAGAAAAACTTCGGTCGGGATTTCCTTTGCATTCGATAAATGAGTCGTCATTGTTTTGTAGTTCGTTCTCCTGATGATGGGCTAGGCCCGAAAATTTGGTGTACAGTAATGTAAATTGAAATTTGAATTTGAATCGCAGTGAAGAGACCGTTTTTAGAGTTTGGAGTTCAGAAGTGAAGTTTCCTAAAAGTTCGTTCTCCAGTATTTTGGTTTTCAAATCATGAAATTTCTGCAGTGCCATGAATGTGACGATGTTGCACTTTCAGAACGGAACTGTGATTGTTCTGACGAAGCGTCATTCGACGACTTGACCTATCGCAGTATTGCAGTTGCAAGTCGAACAGGGGAGATGTCACAAAAGGTACACCTACAAAGTTGCTACCAACTTGTTGACAACTCTGAAGTGCTCGAGAAAAACCCTTGCCTTTGCGTGTTGCGTGATTTGGAAATGATGGCTTGAAACACCGTCAGAAGTATATTTGGTTCCTGCAATACTCTGCTCTTTGCTATCTTGTTATTCGGAAGAAAAACCCATTTGGATTTGCGAAATACAACAAACAACATCATAAAATCACTACGAGCCAGCTCGTAGCCAGTGCCCAAAGAGACTTTGAAACCAGGAAAGTGGACATTGTTTACCGTAGCAAAGCGCTCTTCGCGCCACGGTGTGAGATGCACTTTCGTACAGTGGGAGTGACAGTGCATGGGGTCAGTGCGTACAGGCCAGCAGATCTTGCACAATGCGGTGGGAATTTGCAGCGGGCTTTACTGTACACAAACACACCCACACACACACACACATACACACGAAAAAAACCACACTATTGGACCAGACATAGTGGTTACAACAATGTGTCCTGTTTTTCTTGTGTATATTCGCTGTCTGTAGATTTCTTCACAAGGGTTGTCAAGAGCAACCTACCACAGATCATCGCCGAACTAGCGACCGTACCAGATATAGTGCTCACTGAAGTATTTGGAGATGTCGACCTGGATGAAAAGTTTATCAGCACTTATCGAACGGCATGTGAGGTGGCCGGTCATGTGCGTGATCTTCCACTTTGCTGTCAAACAGTAATCGGGGCGTCTTTACTGTACCCAGTGTTCTCCTTTATGTTCCTCTTTTATTACTTGCACCGTCCTGAGCTCACTCAACGACTGGATAAAGATTTCCTGATCAAGATCGACCATGAGGCAGGATGTGATGGGAGAAGTCTTGTCCAACTGTTGAATTTGGCTATTGATTTACAGAGAGATAGTAAGTGACAATTTGAAGACTGCAATGCAAGTTAAAGAATGTCCATGATGGTGAATCCTAGTCAATGGATGATGCTGGTCTTTGTGTTAGTGTGCATACCAGCTTACGGTTATATGAAAATACAGTTGTCTTATACCAGCAGAAATGTTCTAAATGATATTAGCTGTTTTCCAATTTGTTTAGTATACGTTATGTTCTAGCCTTGGTTTCCATTGTGAGGAAAATGAGGAATTTTATTGAAATCATCCACACCTAATCATAATGGCACTTTCTCCCAGTGACTTGACTTGACACTTGACTGACTCACAACCACCATCCAGATCACACAAGAAGCCCATTCAACTTTCGAAGTCGGCGGGAAAGCGCTATCTTCAGTGTTGGGAGCAAAACATGTTCTGATGAAATGATCGCCAAAGTCGCAAACTCTATTTCATAGCATAGTAAAGTAGCCTAAAACCTGCCTGTCATGTTTGTGGAAATCACCAGCATATTGTTTAGTATTGTCAAAATGCCAATTTTCTGAACTTAATGTACCGGCAATCCGAGCAATACTCGTAGAGAATTCTATTTTGATTCTTCTGATCTCACCTTCATATACAGCAGGTACCGCAATGTCAATGATGAATGTTGAAGGTGTGATTGCAGTGAGAGAAGGACCAGGAGATGCAGTTGAAGGTCAGTACTGTCCTTGTATTGGTCCTCCATTAATGCACGGCCCTATTTTAGGGGAATGCATACTCAAAGTTTGTCAGCCCGAGCCTAACGCTCGCATTCCAGCGCAAGCTTTACAGTGTCCTGCGAATTAGGACTACCTTTCTCAGCGCGGCCGGCGAAACTGAGTGTTCACAGAGTTACCGAGGAACATCTCATCCTGACAGTAAATCCTTCTGCGAATTAGAGCGCCGTGGAAATGAGTGCCCAAAAGGTCAGCGCAAAATACCCCAGAGAGACAGAAAAGCGTGTGGTTAAGTTAGCAAAACCTGATTTTGCCAGTGATCACTGTTATTAAGTGTTACACTCAATGGCGTCGCACACTTTATGACCGGTGAGACAAAGGGCGTCCGACGTGGTCTGCGCAATTCATCCAAAAATCAGTAATCATTTCGTAACATCATGCGCTCCTACACTTGTGCAAACACTGTGCGCACAACTCCTGGAGTTGACTGGCAGTAGACCAGGGTAAGCATATGCCATTATGCGCTATTTACTGGTACTGCTCTGTCTGTACCCACGGTTGTTGCCAGTAGACTAGTACCAGTATACCGAGTACTAGCGGGCAGTTGTATTTAGTGCTGTGCACTACTTGTATGTGCTATGTAGTTACATTGACTGTTGCTGCAGTGTTCATGTAAACATGGTAGTCTAGATGTACATGTATGTCTTCAGCTCACACACACACACACAGAGTCACAAAGACAGTATACTAAGCAACGAACAACTAGCCTGTAGGATACCAGTTGATCAGCTAAGGTAGATGTATAAGGCGTTGACATGTCATGTCGGCACGGTGACGGCTTTTCCATGGTAACTGGAGCTGCGCAAGAAATGTCTACTTGGCTTACTTAGTTTTTTGTTGTGGTGAAACAATGTCAGTACGAAAGGTAGGACAGCCTCTGCATTGTAACTGGAGCTGCGGAAGAACTGTCTGCTTGATGTACTTAGTTTTCTGTACTGGTGAAACAGTGGCAGTATGAAAGGGAGGAATGCCCCTCATAATCAAATACAGTCAACTTTGCCAATAACGACACTTGGCTGGGCATCAGAAAAGTGTCCTTGTTCGCGAAGTGTCCTTATACCCGAAGTCCCATTTGAATGTATGTGAACCCGTATTTTGTCTAGTATGACATGCATATCAAAATGAAGCTCTTTTCCTGCTCTATGCATTGTGTACTTTATTTTCATATTACGATTGAAAGGAACTATAAAGTCAATATGCAAGGGATATAATAGATTGAAAAATTAGCCTTTTGCAGCCATCTACAGGGACATGCACAATCATGTACATGTATGATGATTACTTTACAATCATGTACAACTACATGACATCACCCAAACTATTTTGAAGCAAAAAATAAAAAAATAAAGCCCCCCCCCCCCTTGGCTGCATCTTCTTGCATGTGTGCCTTTATCCATCACCATGGGTTCTGGTATTACTGCATGACAGGTACTTGAAATACCTGTCAAAAGCCCTGAAAGTCGTTATTCGAGCAGTGAATATGACCTCGGGGCACTAAAAGCATGTCGCTATCCGCGAAATGTCGTTATTCAGATAGTCGTTGTATCCGACGAAAAATATAATACAGCTAGATGGGACTTTGCTCTGGGCATCGAAATTCTGTCGTTATTCGCGAATTGTCGTTATATCCGCAGTCGTTATAAGCGAAGTTGACTGTAATTGATAATGAGAAATGTCGCAGAGCATGTGATTTCAGCAGACGTGTCACATGATTGGCAGACACTGGTTTGAACAGTGCTAGGATAAGAAGTGCTATGGAAATGTTTTGCTCTGACACTCAGTGCATTACCACAGGCATGTGGCGTGCAGATAATGTGATGCAACTTCAAGAGATTCAATACCACCTTCTTCTCAGCTTTAAATTGCTCGAATGCACAGCGGTCCGTAACATTCCACTGAAATGCTTGTGCTCAAATGGTCGTGCTAAACTGTCCATGTTGAAATTCTGGTGCTGAATATGGGATTAATCCGGGTGTTGTAGGCTAGCTAGACCCATTTCATTCTGAACTTATCCTTCCCAGTTTCTTCAATAACTTCTTCTTCACATCTACATCAAATGTATTGTGCTTTGTTCTGGTGTACGTGTATATTTTGTGCAGCTGATAATGGCCAGTACGCAGCAGCTCTAAGTGAACTGATCAAGGAAGGTATCCAGTTGATACCGTACGGGCGCCTGATAATGTGCGGGCCAGGCCGCACAGGCAAGAGCAGCTTTCTGCGATCCCTCCTGCGTCAAGCGTTCATGTCTCAAGTCGACAGCACAATCGGTGTGGAGCTGGAGAAGGTGATCTGCACCATCGAGAAACAAGGGTTAAAGTATGTCTGGAAGCAAGCTGAAGATTCTTACCAGCAGCAGTTGGCCCTGACGCACAGAGCTGTTGGTCAAGAGAAACGGAAGAAAGAGATCGTAGCAGCATTGAGACAACAAGGCGTTGCTATCCCCGAGAACACCAGGTCCACATCCTCAACGCCATCAACGCCCGTAGCATCACCTTCCGTTGGGATTGAGACTGAGCAAGCAGGTACAGCCAGTGTGAGTGAAACTACTCTCAGGCAAGCTGATGAAACCACCAATACCGGGTACTCTGCTCAATCACCCACCAGTCCTACCATGGAATCTCAGAATGTTTCCACTGCATCCAAGCCGGAAGAGGTATCAGACATGGCTGCGCTGAAGGAAGAGACACCAGAGCAAGATGTCCAGCAACTACAGGCAGAAATCAACTCAGCAACATTGAAGTTCGAAAGTTTCATTAATGATCTGCGGACAGGCAAAAGCGAAGTTTTCACTGCAGAACACCTCAAAAATCTGACATTTATGGATGTCTGGGACTTTGCAGGTCAGAAGATGTTTGCTGCTATCCAGCACATGGTGCTGGCCTGCACCAGATGTGCATATGCTGTCGTCTTTGATGCATCAAAGAAGCTCCAGGCCAGAGCGAAGCCGACATTTGGTGTAGATGGTGAGGAACTGCCGCTTTCCAACCACCTGGAGCAGACCAACTTTGATGTGATGGAGACATGGTTCAACGCTATCCACGAGGTCATTGGAGACAGCGACAACGTACCCGTGTTTGCCATTGGCACACATGTGGACAAGTTACCTAAGAATCCAGAAGCAAGGAAGAAGGCCACTGAAGAGATAAAAAAGTACATCTGGGCCAATGCAGAGGGAAAAGCATACGCCAACAACATCGACAAGGTGGTATTTGTGGACAACACACGAGCTGGTAAAGATCCAGAGGACCCAGCAATTGTTCAGCTACGGCAAGACATCATCCAGCAGCTGCAGCATCAGTTCAACGTTCCCATACCAATCCGCTGGCTTCCTGTGACCATCTCCATTGGGCACATTGCAAAATCGTTTGAACGACCATGGTTATCGGTTGAGGAGCTACGTCGCTTGGCCATTGCTGTTGGTAGCATCTCCAGTGATGATCCTGAGTCAGATTTCCAGGAGATGGTGAAGTTCCACCATGGTCTTGGCCATTTGCTTCACTTTGTTCACAATGCCCGCCTTCGTGATCGTGTAATCATCGACATCCACTGGGTTCTGAAGACCATGTCATTGCTCTTCTGTCCTGAACCAAAGGATATGCAGAGCAAGCGTCTACGTCCACAGTACGACTTGCTGACTCAGAATGGTATCCTCCTTGAAAGTCTTGCCCTGCACCGCTGGTCACAGCACAATCGTATGACATCGCGCTACACGGCCACAGAAGAACAGCGTGATTTCCTGTTTGAGATGGGTGAGCACTTTGCCCTGTTCTACAACACCAAGACAACTGTGAAGGTGCCTGGTCAGAGGAAAGAGGTGACAACTCGCAAGTTCTTTGTACCAGCTCTCGTGGAGCGAGTTGCACGTGTTCAAGACGAAGTGAGCAAAGGCAAGCCAAGTTCAGCTATGTACCTGTATAGTGGTGCAGATCGTTACTTTCCACAAACCCTATTCTGGTGTGGTGTTGTGAGGTGTATGCAACGCTACAGTCCAAAGGTGGATCCAATCCTCTATCACACATCGGCACGTATTCTGGTGAAGGATCGCTTCTGGCTGGTCATGCAGTATTTCCAGCATGGCATTCGCCTGTCACTGGAGATTCCTGTTGATGCTCGACCAACTGCTAAGTCTTCGATCACCAGTGCAACTCCTGTTCCTGCTGCTGCCGGTGTGAGAAAGTCAGTTGAGTCCGCTGGCATTGGAGCTGCTGCAAGTGAGGATGAGGCTGAAGCTATCATGCTTTGTCATGAGCTTCTACCGTACCTGGAGTCGGAGCTCGACAAGCTGAAGGCATTCTCCCTGACTCATGTTAAGTTTGGCAGAGCTGTTCGCTGTCCATGCTCGTTCAGCCGAGATGCGTGTCGCAAACACAAGCAGAAGTCTTGTGAGGAGATTGGCTGTCAACACTTTGCTCCGCTGGTGGAGGGATTGCGACCACGCTGTACCATTGGAGCACGTCCGTCAGTGGATATCAGTGATGTGCGGCACTACTGGCCATGCTTCTCTGGAGACACACATGTGAGTATACCATGGATTGGTATCGCCCTTACGTCTCATATTATGCAATGTGACTAGGTATTCTAAATCCTCTCTATTTTTAATCTTTGACATCAGAATAGTAGCATCAGTACTGAGTAACAACGAAACAGCCCTATCTTATTTCCTTTTGTGTACCTCTTGCGTAGCATCAGTACTATGGAGAAATATTATTAACGGGAATCATGGTATCAATTACGTGGAGAAAAACTTGTGCTTTTTATACACTTCAAAGTACTTTGACAATTGGTCAACGCCTCACATTTGGTACTTTCTTGTATTACTTTAGCAGTGTACTCTTGTTTTCTTTCATTTTCAGACGGTGGCGAGTATGGATGAGAAGGATTGTTCGTCCGACCCAGTGACGGTCGTTAGAGATGCTGCTGCATGTTCGGGAGGTTAGTGACACAGCTCATTTCAACGAAATGCATAGCAGGGTTATTGATACGGGTTCTTCTAATGGTACTAACAGTTATACAGCGGTGGCAAATGAAATCCAACCTCACATCTAGTCCGGATCAGAAAATGCATGTCCCTAGAAGTACACATGCTTTGTTGTGTATTGAGCATGCCAGTGCCGTGCTCATGATGTTGGATTTCACTTGGCAGCACTTTAGAATTTAGCTTGCACTTGACACCGACACTCAGTAGTTTATGTACGGCTGGCCAGTGTCTACATGTGCTTAGATAGCGTGTGCTAAATGGAACACGGATGAGTCGTTTTATTACGACAGCCTGCACTGGCTATCTGTAGTTTAAGTACGGCTGGCCACTGTCTACCTACAAGGCTACATGTGCTTAGATAGCGTGTGCTAAATTTGATCCCGTCGCTTGAATTTCACTGTACCAAAAGTGAGCCTCGGTTTGCGATCTTGCAATCTACGCATTGTTCCTCGTAGCCCGTGATCGGGTTTCATGACAACTGGCAGACATTATTTTTCTTTGATTAGTGTATTGCCCCATTTTGGGACGATTCGGACTGGCATTGAAACAATCCGAGAAACACTGAACATTTAAGAATGTTTCACCTTCCGAATGGAATATAGTGCAGCCTTTCAATTTGGACTTTTTGTTTACTAGTAGTATGTAGTGATGTATGCGCTGAAGGTAAAGTGGTTCCACTATACATCATGAGTTTGATCACATCTTTAGTTTTCTTGTGAGACACTAGTCGGTTTGAGAAATGAAGATATTGACCATGTGTACCGCCATCACAATATACACATTGACATTGTGACACAGTGTAGGGGCATAGTCTCCAGTTTTCCATTCAAAATGGTACCCCTCTATCTAAGACCTGTATGTTGGGTATTGCCATATTGGAGCACAATTGTGAGCCGTACGACTGTTTTGTAGTGAGCCGTATGACTGTTCTGTGTCAAAATTGGCAGAATTACCTGGTTCACCGACATGCCTGCACAAGTCAGTCTACGCCCATGCTGGTGTGCTGGGTGTATTGGTGAATTTTAGTAATGAAGCTGCTGAAAGCCATTATCTCTGAACTCTTCATTGTGTCTTCAGGGAAATTGTCTTGTAAATCACTGCAGTGCTTAATTCCGAGTTGAATTGGTGGTGGAATTCGGGCCCTGTCTGTCATTTCTAGAGTTTGTTTCTTTGTCGTGTTCTTGTGCTGCAGGTCAGCTACCTCCAGGCAAGTCTGAATCTGAGAGAGCAGCATGCTATCACCTAGCTTTGCACAAACACTGTGCCGCTGTCAAGATCTGTTCTGAGATTGATGTGAGCGACTGCATGGAAAGCTTGCGTGCTGAGGGCCATGTGAGCACTGAGTGTGTCAAGGAGAGTCGAGCTATTGTCAAGTCAAGTGGAAGCAAGAAAGCCATCAGTCACCTGTGCACTGTCTTGGAGGATCTATCGGACACTGCCATGTGCTACGTTGTGGAGGATATCCTGCCGTCGCAAGGTCTGTCACAGCTCGTGGAGACATTCCGTGTGTGTCCTGGTCCTGGAAAGTGTTCACTACATCGCAATGACCTGCATCCTGTATCAGTGTGTTCCAGTGACAAGACACTGTCCATGCAGACTATTGTTGATGCCTCCCAGACTGGTAATGTCAAGAGTAGTCAACTTGAGACTGGGGTAAGAACTCTGCTCTGTACAGTCTACTTAACTGCATGTTTGGTGATTGTACAGTAAAGCATACCTTAGCCACCAGTGCAATAAGAAACAGGAACACCTGTGTTTGAAGACCTATCGTATCAATGCACAGACCATAGATGACAATACTTCAAGTACATACAAACATGTGAGCTTGCTGTATAGAAGTATGGTTCTGGATTTCAGATGTGCTACTCAGTGAGATTACCCAACAGGCTTTTCTAAACACAGAACAATTCACATCAATCTGTCGTCATCTTGTTCACAGATGTCTGAGCTTCACCAGGAAGTACTGCGTTCAAGCTATGTGGAGTTGAAGTGCAGTTTGGACGTAGAAGAGGGCATTCTAGACCGTCTCTATGCAGAGAGCATCATCACCCAGCGCTTCTGCAAGAAACTCCGTGCTATGGATGATCGTGAAGACCAGGTATTGCATGTACTGGTGTACATTCTATAGTCCTGTTGGCCACCGAAGAATGGGGGGAATGGGATCAGGGTTCTAGCCTAGCCCCGTTCTTATTTTTAGCGAACACAGCAGTTTCGTTCTTATTCGATGATACAGTCTTACATGAACATTTATGCAGAGTTATACCTCTCAGTGTACATTATACTGTATCACAGTTTCCGTTCTTATCTGCAAAAAAATCCAGCCTAGACCTTGGGGAAATTCTAGCCTAGCCGTTCTTCAGCGGTCCGTTCTTCGGCAGTCCGTTCTTCGGCGGTCCGTTCTTCGGCGGTCCGTATAAAGTGGTCAATGCCCAATGGCAGACTAAAGCAAGCATTGTATTTTATACGTATACTCAAACATTCCTGGAGTTACGTGGGGGAAGACCGTGTCCGTAACTGTCAGCTGCCTGTGTCTCTGAATAACTCTGAACTGCAATCAAGTCATGTACTACATTAGAAATTCAAGTTGTTTTTCACCTTTCTCTCAAACAAATGAATACTGTGCTGGGGCTCCCTGCGTGCTAGTTTGTACGTGAACTGAGTGTATGGGTTTCGGTGAGAGCTGCGTCTCACCAACCTGTGTGGATGCAAAGGAAGTGAGAGTTTTGAAAGTCTGAAGAACATGTTGAACGGTCACTGCATGGATGACGACCACAGCATAACTTAGTGGTAGAGCATCGCTGGCCATAAGCCAGGGTCCCTGGTTTGAGTCTTGGTGGTGATAGTCATATATTTCAGACTTTTTCTGTTTGCGCCTTTCCCAGTAACTAATGAATGTTGTCGTTGTTGTGTACTGTGGTGACTGGCGCTTTTTTATTGGAATGTTGTGTCTCAGGCGTCAGTCTTCTTGGAAGCACTGCCGGGCTGTGGCAAGCAGGCGTTCCGTCAGTTTGTATCCGCTCTGAAAGAGAGTGAGAAGCTGGCCCACCAGGAGCTTGCTGATCTCCTCCAGTTGAAGCTACTGGAGATATCCTCTGTAAGCATACTGTTGTTCAGTGTTATGACACTATTTCCATCCGTGCTTACTTTTTTTATCACCAGCTGTACATATCAGAAGGTTTTCCTGTCTTCATTGTTGTTTGTTTGGTCCAATCAATTACTGGAATTGGGAAAGAAATTTCAAGGAAGCACACTTGTGCACCAATGAGGCCAGACTCGTGGGTATGTGTGTGTGGGGGGGGGGGGGAGGGGGGAGGGGGGGGGGGGGGTGCACAGAGCAAGCAGCTAAGCACATGTGTGATTTGTGGACATGTTGAATAGGCTCTTGTAATTCATTATGTTCTCATAGTCTCTTCCTCCTCCCCCCGGACACACACACACATCCTATGCTCTGCTCTCTGTCCAGTTTGGCAGAGATGCAGCATGGTTGGGCAATGTGATAGTCCAGTATGCAAATGTACGGAGAGTCTCAGAGAATGTTAGAACAAAGTCCGTGATGTATAATGTTGTTTGAAGCTGTCAACATGAGGCTTAGTACGTGTATTGTTCCAGGACTCAGTGCATTGACGAATATCTCTTTGTGTGTGTGTGTGCTTTTGTCCCTGTAGGGTCTGTGAAGGTTACTCTGCTGGTGGACCTGCCATGAGCTGCTATGTACCCACAATGAGCTGTATCAGTGAATGGTGTGTGTAGACTCTACTGAACGATCGTAATGTTTCTGATCAAGTGTGTTCAGGTATTCCAAGACGTTTTCCAGTTGTGTTTCTTTTACTCTGTCTTGAGATTTTGTCTGGCATTCTAACTGGTGTAGATATGATTGAATTACGCTTTCCTTCATGCTGTATTATCGCTAGAATTAATTGCTCAGTGAAATGGTTGACAATGCAAGTTAGAGTGTAATGAAATCCACACTCTACTGCACTGCTAGTTTGTATTTGCTATCTATAATGTGTATGCTTTGCTTTGTTGCACGGAAACGTGATCCCTGTTGGGCTACGTTTTGAGCTGCTCAGCTGCGCTAAAGAGCCTAACTGTTGGTGCCTTAATTTATTATGATTCTACGAGTTTATTGATTTTACAACCTTTTGTGCGGTTTCTCTGCGTATCGTTCAAATTTACAAGAGTACTGTCTGTTTCATGATTTTCAATACTATTGGATATCCTTGATTCACCTTTCCTTTTAGCAGAGCTCATAGTTTTTTTTCTCTCTTGACATTAGCCTATGTTCTTTCTGCGCTTGTAGTCTGAATAGTCGGAAAAAAACGTACTCAGCGGCACATTCACGTCTGAAGGTTGCATTGCCTGAGATTATGGAGAGTTACTCGGATTGCAAGAAGTTTGTACTGACGTATACTGTATGTGGGCTTGTACGAGTTGTACAGTATTGCTTGATCTCTATGCTTGACGGCATCACACGGTTATCACAAAACTGAACTATCACAATGTCAGACCGGAAATACCTCATTAGTGCATTGGGAATATGGCTGACTGTACTTGCTCAATATGATTGTATAAGTTGTTAGTTGGACAATGGCGGGTATTGAGTGGAGTTAGTACAGTGTACATTCTACTTGTACATGTACTGTTGGTCGCTGGGTCTGCCTAGTAACCTACATGAAAACTGCTCTTATTTTCATGTACGTGTATAGTGTACTCAATGCACATTTGAGTTACCGTGTATACATTGGTATGCTGTGCGTGGTGAAATTCTAGCCGTTCTTGGGCGGCCGACAGTACTCACCTCTTTTGGTTTCCTAAGAGATTTAGTTTTGGGAGGCGTTAGCGAGTGTGTACAGCATACCGCCTGCCTCCATGTATGTATGACTTGTGTAGAGGCTGTGGAATCCAGGTTTTTTGTGTGTTTTCAGCCTAATGAAGGGTCAGTCCCGAAAATTTGGTGGAATGTTTTTTCGCAGTGAAGAGACCGTTGTTGGGGTTGGAGAAGTGAATCACACTGTATGTTTCAGTGGTTGCCTTGGAGTTTAGGGAAAATTAATTAGAAAATCATTTGGGTGTAGCCGATGCTGTATCCCAAGCAAGTGTTGACTGTTGCAGTGTTGGTTCCTTTTTCGTGTCATTTTCACAATACATGATTCACCATAGCAACGATTGTCCTTACCCCGCCTAGTTACCATTGTTACTTGAGAATGCAGAGACTCTGCGAATCTCACGCGACCAATGCAATGAATGCATGCCCCCCCCCCCCCCAAGGCCAAAATGAAGGCGCCAAACCGGCTCTGTCCGTAACGACCTTCGGATCGATCCACCTGGACGCGGTAGCCACCATTGGCATTGGCACCAACGACCCAAGCCGGCCACTAAGGAAATCATCATACATGTAGCTGTTCCCGTTGCACCTGCACTGCGCCTGCGTCTGTATGTGTGTGTGTGTGTTTGGTGAAGACGCAGTTATTACCGGTCCGTTTATGGTTCATGTGCGAAGAAGAGGTACAGGACCATTGTGTTTGATAGCAGTTTTGTACACTGTAGTCTCCTGGGCAGCATACCCTTGTCCCAGAACCAGAGAAAGTAGACCTGTTCAGTATCATCGAAAAAAATCATTGTCGGTTCGTGTGTCCGTCAGTGACAACGAGGTCTAAACAACAACGGTAACATCGTTGCGTTGTTTTCTCTCGAGTCAGGGTGATGTGTTGATGATAAGCCACTAGTGCGACTTGTGCTGGAAAACCGAAGCTGCACTGTATCTGCAGCTATCCAGTATTTACGGTAAGGTACAGTGCATGTATACACTCTGTAAAAATGTCACATGACTAAGAGGGGTAGACCTTGAAACCTTCAAGCAGTACAGTCAGTTATTGCCAGGCTGGCAAGATGGGTTGGAGTTATCCTATGTGGAGAATTGATTTAGATTTTCAAGACGTGAAGAAACCCCGTGTTAACGATACCTACATGTAGTTGTATTGCAAGTCAAATTCACTCTATGTAACGTACTAGAACAGTAATGCAGAGATATAGGGAAATGACAAAGGCAAAAGAATAATTATATTGATTGCGCTTCACATGGGTCATCGCAGTTCTGTTCACGTCATGCTTGAGGAGAGTATTCAACTTAACATGCCCAGAACATTGACCCTCAACACTGTCCTCAAACTGATGCATACTTCCCCTGTACTCAAGTACTAGTACTTGTATATCCGTCTCTATTGTAATATTTCACGAAACCTTATACATGAACCTCTTGCAGGGCGTCGGACACGCTACGGTAACTATGGTATTGACTATACCACTCTTCATCCCGGGTACCCTGTGAATCAATAAAACACACTGATCTGAGGTCTAAATTTCGAAATGTTCATAGGAACCCCCCCCCCCCCCCAACCTCACGAGTAAATTGTACTTCGTGTGGCTCACAGTACCATCCTAAAATACCTTCCAACACCCCTGCCTCTTGTCATTCACAGAGTGTTTACATACAATGGAGTTCACCATGAATGCAGAGAATGGGATTTTCTGATTTTGACCTCTTTGGTTGTGGGCCTGATCAGTGATCAACTCACCTCCCATCACTTTAAAGGGGAAGTCAAGGCAAAAATTAAAATTTCACCAGTTGTAGTCTTCGGGGTGCTGAGTCGAATGGTCGTGGTCCGAGAAAGCTGAGACGCTCCCTTCCTACTTGAATCCCAATCGAACTCGCGCACTTCCACCGAAACTGGGTGACTGCGCCCTACTAGATGGGGATTTGTATGCAAAATGTCACTAAAAGCGCCATTTCGTTCTTGTAAAAGCACAGATGACCGCGATTGGCCCATATGTTGTAGTCTTTTGGACGGTGAGTCGACTGGTCTTGGTCCGAACAGGCTGCAATGCAGCGTTCCTCCTTTATTCCCAATCGAACATGGTTGAACAAGCGGTCACGTGCTCCTGGGTGCCCAAATCACCTGGTCACCACGCCAGCAGGCGACAACTTTCACACCAAGGTTCAACTCGAGTGACAGGACTGCACCCAAAAAAGGTCAAACAGGCTAGTAAATTGTACCCGGCAGGCACGGTGACCAGGTGACTGGCGTACGCAGGAGCACGTGACCGCTTGTTCAACCATGTTCGATTGGGAATAAAGGAGGAACGCTGCATCGCAGCCTTTTCGGACCAAAACCAATCAACTCAGCGTCCAAAAGACTACAACATATGGGCCAATGGCGGTCATCCATGCTTTTATAAGAACGAAATGGCGCTTTTAGTGACATTTTGCATACAAATCCCCATCTAGTAGGGCGCAGTCACCCAGTTTCGGTGGAAGTGCGCGAGTTCGATTGGGATTCAAGTAGGAAGGGAGCGTCTCGGCTTCCTCGGACCACGACCATTCGACTCAGCACCCCGAAGACTACAACTGGTGAAATTGTAATTTTTGCCTTAACTCCCCCTTTAAAATCTGCATCTGCACCCTTGATCCATAGAGGGTGGTGGAGTTCCTGCGGATTCGCAAAACTCAGTCAAACTGAGTATCACTTGAACCATGAATATCTTGTACCCATGATGTAGTGAAATGATTGTGTGTACATATGAACAGTAGTGGTGTAGAACAGAGGACTGTGTTGTAGGTGAAGTGTGTTTAGTTAACCAAAAATGAACTGTGTGATTTTTACATAATACTCGTATGTGGCTATGGAGAACCAGCAGTGACAGTGTAAGGAGTGGTGGTATGGTGTATGTGGTGCATGGCAGTATTTGTCTCTATACACATGGGTCAATCATCTCCATGCCATGTGTGTGTGTGTGTGTGTGTGTGTGTGTGTGTGTATGTGTGTGTGTTAACATAATGATATGTGTATACATGTACCTGTATTGTGTGACACTGTACAGCCGGTCTTCTGGTTGATTGTCATTCATACTTGAATTCTCTTTCAGCAAATTCATCGACTATCAGAAAAGAAAGATTCTGTTTCACAGTTTGTTTGTTTTTGTTTGTATTTTTTATCACTTTGTGTTTAGAACGATGCCGTTTGACTTCTGGGATGATGTTGTCCTGCCAGCATGGTATGACATAGCTCAATGCCAGATTACACATGAAGCATTCGTGAAGGTCCTCATGGCAACTGATGAACATCATCCACGTATCAGCAGAGATCACGTGCTTAGGGGACATCTGATGAGTTGGAAGAAGGCTTATACCAACATAAGGAGTTCAGAAAAGGATAGGTTAGCCGGATATGTGGGCGTTATTATTACCTACAAAAGAGGACCATCAGGTGTCCAGAACTTCATTCAAGACATCCAGTCTTCTTCTTTCCCGTCCAATGTTGCTGTTGGTGGATTGCTGGAGAGAATTTGGCAAGCTCGTAAGAATGATCATCCTGATGAAGATGTCAAGGATCCACGTGAGTAAAAGATTGCCATAAAGTTAGTTCTAACACTTGCACCCAGTTAATTTAAGCAGGGAAGTAGTGCAATGATTTCATGGTATTTTGTATGTAAAGTTCATACTTCATACACGTGGAATTGCACCACTACACTTGTTAGCTGCTCTGGCAACCCAATATTTTCCCTAAGCACTCTCAGAAGACTATCTTGTAGTCTCATGAGTATTACTATGAGAAGAAGTATTGGAAGACAGGAACCACTGGAACATGGGCTGTTCTATAGTTGATGGAATAATCTGAATAATCATTACAGACAAAGAAGCGGGAAATATGAAAAAGTGAGCACAATAGTGCGTTTGTATTGTGACCTGTATGCTGCATAAGTATCATAGCATAAGTATACCTGTTGCATACTCGTATACACCTTGTAAATGAAGATAGCACGTGCAATACTGTACATTGAAGAAATCTTTACATACATGTTATGTGTGATGTTATGCTGGTGCATGTTACAACATTATACAAGATCATGCATTCTATTCTGTACAGTAGAACTACAGTATATTCATAAAAAGATGGACTTCTAGCCTTTGGCCATAAATGGGTCAAACCTTTTAGATTATTTTTCTGCAATCCCTATGGAATCCTCTTCTAATTTTGTTTCTGAAGTCTATTTGTCCAAAAAGCAAGCCATAACAAGAATAGGATTTCGGCCAGGTTTTACCCCAAAACCCACTGATTTGGGAAAAACCATCAAAACCCAGGCGGTTTGTCAGACCCCGCCTGCAACAGTGCATTGTGCGGTTCGGACCTCAGTTCAGGTACCTTTTTTGGACCCGGTTTCAAATTTCAAATTTCGCTGCACTGTATACGATAAATTTCACGAAAATCGGCAAATACGGGAGATCGCCAGAGCCAGGCACCATCTTTTTTTATGAAAGGACTGTAGAAGTGGCATACCATCAATGGGAATGGAAAGCGTAGTTTCGCCGATGTAGGATAATTACGACTCATGCATTATACCATCGTGTCACG